ATCCTAGTGTACGTCGACGACTTGGTCTTTGCCACTGCTGACACTGCTGGACTCGCCCACGTGAAGTCCGAGCTGCAGAAGAGACACACGTGCACAGACCTGGGTGAACTGCGCAGCTACCTTGGCTTGCAGATCACCCGGGACAGAGCACGCCGCACCATTACCCTGACTCAGTCACACATGGTGCAGCAGGTCCTTCAGCGCTTCGGCTTCACGTACTCCTCGCCTCAGGCCACTCCTCTGCCTACGCGCCACTCGCTCTCAGCTCTGCCTTCGGATGAGTCCGTAGAGTCGAGTGGCCCGTACCCAGAGCTTTTTGGCTGCCTCATGTACCTGATGACCTGCACACGACCTGACCTTGCATACCCTCTTAGCATTCTTGCACGCTATGTTGCTCTTGGGAGACACAGACCAGAGCACATGGCTGCAGCGAAGAGGGTGTTGCGCTACTTGTGCAGTACGTCGGGCATGGGGCTAGTGCTTGGAGGGCAGAGTCCAGTGGTCCTTACTGGGCACGCAGACGCTTCTTGGGCTGACGACCAGGCTACGCAGCAGTCATCACAGGGTTACACCTTCAGCCTTGGTTCCGGCTCTGTTTCGTGGCGGGCTACCCGCTCGTCTTCTGTTCTTGGCTCCAGTTGTGAGGCTGAGATCTACGCCGGGGCCATGGCTGCACAGGAGCTTCGCTGGCTCACCTACCTGCTGACTGACCTCGGGGAGCCGCCTCGTTCTCCTCCAGTGCTGTACGTAGACAACAAGGCCATGCCGGCCTTGTGTCGGGAGCACCGCCTGGAGCACAGAACGAAGCACATTGCTCTCCGCTACTTTCTTGCTCGTGAGCTGCAGCAGCGTGGTCAGTTGCGACTTGCGTACGTGGCCTCTGAGGCCAACACTGCTGATATCTTCACTAAGGCACTTGCGCCTTGTGATCATCAGCGCTTCTGTACTCAGCTTGGTCTTGTGCCTACCTTGCCTCACTTACTCACTTCTTGACCTTTCTTGTACTGTCACATATATATATACTTCCGCTCTTGCTTGTTTAGCTTTTATTTATATATATGTGCTTCTGCATGTGAACTGGCCTTGTGGCCTTGAACTTGTGCTCGGACTGTGTGGTGACTTTGTGATCCACCGTGAGCTTGCTTTGCTTGACTGGTCTTGTGACCCCTTGTACTCCCCCACTTTGCCTATGGGGGTGTGTCAGATTTATATGACATAGCTATTGTAGGCTATAGTGGGGTAGCACATATGGGGTACAGCTTTCTAGGGTTTGCATTTTGTACCCAACTTCACTTAGTCATTCTCATTCTCGTTCTAAGTTTCTCAGTTGCTCCGTTGTTGTTGCTGTTGTGTGACTGCGAAGGTGCCGATTGCTGGTGTTGCTCGTAGAAGGACATGAAGGAGAAAAACTTCTCCATCATGCTCTGGTCGAAGTCTGCAGGTTTATTCGCGAGAGTCTCAGTAGATGTTGCTCTGGGTCTTGTTGCCGTGCCCTCCTTTGTCTGTAGGCCAGAGGTAGGAGGTGGAGTAAGAGTAGTGCCCTGGGAGCCGTTGGAGTTGTTCATTTCCTTTTGTGTAGCCATGTTGATTGACACTGTTGGTATATAAGTTGAATTCCCCCTGATAGCTCTCACAGGTTCCAAGGTTTGGAACTCTTGCTCTGACACCATGTTGAAAATAAGAAGTCGTTAGAGCGCAGCGCAAGCTCTAGGAATTAACGACGTCCCTACGACGGGGCTATTGGTCACTCAGAGGTAGCTTTCCTTGCTTGTAACGTGGTGCCAAAGCAGCGGCTGAGGGTAGGCCGGACACAAGCTTGAGAATTGTGTAATATGAGCAAGGCATTACATTCTGTTATATAGCAAACGCATAGGGAAAACAGTTACATAGGCGCAACCGTATAACAGTTGCGCTGCGTCGCTTGGGTTGCCTTGTTACAGTCACGCTGGCGAGACTTTTCAGCTTCGGCAAGGGCGCGGTATCCTGCCGCGCCCTACAGGTCAGTTTCGCGTACTGTAGACGATGACTCCTGCTGTCGATTCGATTCTTGAGTTGCCACGCGGGTCGCAACTGCTGTGTTCGGTTGCGGCCCATTGACTCGCCACCAGGTTCAAATCCCTCGCTATGGCGAGCCCCTGTAAACTTACTTCGAACAGTGCACTTATAATAAAAGCATACAAACATATTCTCAACACCCAAAACCATGGAGTTATGCAAAAGTTTGCAAAAGGGTGATCAACGTTATCTCACAGTATTAATAGATATAACTGAGTGTTATAACATAGGGCTAGTTTTTGAACTTAATGTTCAAATCTCTAGTTGGGTGTTGTGCTGTTTATATTGTTGAAAATATTCCATGCAAATATATAGTTACAATCTACTGATTATTTCTTTGTTGTGAAACGGTCGCTGTGTATAGTATCGAGCACACAAAGAATGGCTTTTTACCACTTGACCTTAGTCTTGAACATATTCGCTTTGACAACATGACGCGGCGCTAAATCATTGGCTAATACGTTCTCAAAGTGTTACGATCAGTTTTTTAACACAGCTTCAAACCTGGCGCGTGCCATGAGCTGGAAACGATTGGGTGCCTGGCGGCTACGTGCCACATGGGCGCAGATATGTGGGGTCTGTTAAGCAGTACAGTTAAAATCCATCTAAACCAGTCGTGTTGCGACACGTCTATGCCCAGACGTCTAGACTGTCTGATACGGTGAACCGCTGCACTTTGTCGAGCCTGTTTGCGCTGGAACATGTCCGAACCTGCGATCCACACTTTGAGGGAAAAGATTACCAATCAGCTAACACTGCGTGGCAGTTATGTTTCAAGTCAAACTGCAAACTGCCCACCGACACAATTGAGCCCCGAAAAAACAATCCTTCGGCTCTTTATATTAATCGAGACTCGCGAGCGCGGAAGTCGGGTGATGAAAGTGTTGAAATGAACTGCTGCTGCTGCTCGCGTGGCACCAGGGTGGCGGGAAAAATTTCACGTGGCGAAAATTTTCGCCACAGTTCCCCCATCAGCCAAAATTCGAATCTGCAAAGGGCATCTACCAACATTACCCATTCGCCACTTCATCATCCTTATCTCCAGTCAGCAAGGCACACTTCCATTTTCACCCAATACAAATCCTTCAATCCTCCACCTCATCTCTTCTCCAATCCTCCTCAACCTTCTCATCCCAAACTCCACCAATCAATCCAAAGATTCCCTACCAAGCCTTAAATCAAAGCCCCATTCATTCCAATCACCAAGCCTTAATTTCAAGGCCACATTCATCCCACTCACCAAGCCTTAATTTCAAGGCCACATTCATCCCACTCACCAAGCCTTAACTTCAAGGCCACATTCACCACCCCCACCTTATCCAACTTAACCAATCACAATCATTCATCTCCTCCTCTCCTTCATCCAACCTCAAGCTCCACCAAATAAAAAGAAACAAAGGGTCCACCCCATTTTAAAACTCATACTTTTCAAGCAATTTTTACCCAAGCTCTCAACAAGTTCTACTCTAAGCTCTCTCAAGGCCACTTCAAAGTCCTCCTCCTCATGCCCAACTCCTAAGGCTCCACTCATCACCTCAACCTCTCCCAACCCAAGCTCATAGCCATGTTCTCCAACTCTAGAGAAGCTTACGCTTCATAGTCTTTCTACTAGATTGTAAATCAATGGTTGCTCTTCAAGTCCATCATGTACCTCCTTTGGACTAGTGCATTTTAAGTTTTAAGACCTCAACATCAACTTTGACTTTCTTCTAAGCAAGACTCAAGTTTCACCTTCTCCATTCAACAATCAACCTCTACTACCCAACAATCAAGCTTGGATCTCACTCTCCTTTCAACAATCAAGATTCACAATTCAAGCTTGGCTTCTTCAAGTTACAAAGCTCCTTCAAAATGACAAGTAAGAGTCTTTAAGGTAAGTCACCTCCTTTCACTCTTGTTAAGCTTCTCAATTCAAGCTTCCCTATTTAAAGCTTCTTCATTTTTTATCAAATCTCATTTCTTATTAAATCTTAGTTGTCATTATCAAGTTTGTTTAATTTTCAAGCTCCTTTACCTTTTCATCAATCACCCATTCAATACCTTTCTTTCAATCAATTGTTCTTTCCCTTTAATGTTTTCATCATCTTCCTTTCAAGTTGTTATTTTTCTCTTTAACCTTCTTATTTAAAGCCTTCAAATTCTTACTTAATCTCTTCTTAAAGAGTTTCTTTATCTCATCAAATTTGTCTTACTTCACTCTTAACTCTTTCTTCTAGGTGTTTTTCTTTCTCTCTACTTGCTATTTACCCTTCCTAATCCTTTACTTCAATTTTCAAGTGAAAGGTGGATCGAATGCGTTTCGCGTTTTGTAAAAATTGAAGCGCGATATGAAAAATTCACGAAGCCAAAGCCCGTGCCGCGGTAATTCTCTCGCTGTTCGAGCTTACTGCTCTTGCGATGTGTTCCATTGCAGGCTCAATTCGGATCGCACATATGTCGGTGATGAGAATGCACTCGCCCGAGTGAGTTGTAAATTGACCTCTAACTGAAACAGGATTTCTATGCCCCGCCCCAGTTATCCGGGCGCTAACGAAAGCAGAAACCTAGGTAGCGATGCTTTCGGCGAATTCCCCTTGTCGAGGAAGTGGGCATTAGCATCAACAGCTTGTGATTGGGAACTGGCTACAGACACTTCACCCACTCGGACTGTTTCTTTCAAGCCCCCAGAACCCTTTCTCTATGGACCCTCACAGTAATTTTTGGACGGCAGAAGTTATGAACGAGCCGCGTCACAACCGCCGCTCATGTTCCACGAGTGCTCCCCTTGCGTGCTGCTCGGTCCATCCATGAATGTCGCTTTCCACCCATAATGATCCTACCAACTCGTCTTTCACAATCCATTTCGAAAGGTTGCAGTACGAGCAGCTGAGCAGACCTTAGCGAACAGCGTAGTAAAGGGCGGAGTTATACACGGCCATTCCATACACGGCCTGCTACTCCCCACGATGTCTCCAACACGTGACCTGCTGCTTCTCTCCGTCTGCCTCTTAGCAGCAGCTGCGAGCCTCCCGACCGCCAGCGCGCAAAGTACGTACTCCACATTAGTGTGCTCCGTTACCGTCACCTTGCCGCTCGTCCATTTCTGGCCTCCGTTTCCGTCACCGTTTCCGTTTCCGCCGTCACCATGTCCCGTGACAGTCGCGCAAAACTTTCGTCGCAAGTTTGAAGTACCTACTACTATTAGTGTTCCACTGCCGCAGCATTCCAGCGACATTTATCCTCACGAACTTGCGCTTCGCAATTCCGTTCTCACCAACGCAGATGCGACACGTGTCGCCGTTGCGAATACCAATACCACAAGCTTGCTTTGTCGCGAATAACTTTCCACAAATTTGCTTTTCGCGACCATACTATTCCCAGCAACGCAGATAAGACAACTGTCGCCGCTGGATCCTGGAACTGCGACATCTCGAAGGGGCAGTGGGTTTCCGCGCCCCTTCATCTCCCGCGTTACACGGGACATTGTCCGTACATCCGCTCTACTGAGAACTGCCAGAACCTGGGACGGCCCGACCTACAATTCCAGAAATACAGATGGGTGGTACGTATCATTCGCGTTATGAGCACATTAGAACTGGGGGGTCGAATTTTCTAGAGTCGGGGCTTATTATCATAGTCGGGGCCTAACACATGACTCCCGTCGCGTCCTCCGTGGGTGTCGCATTCGTCGCATGCGTCGCGCATGCGAGCTACTCTCGCTTCATGCTGCTAACCACAATCTACGTCTTTTCCCCTCCCATTCCCCCTTGCACCCCTCCCCCCCTCCCCCTTTCCTCTTTCTCCTCCCCCTCCCCTTCCCCATCCCCTTCTCCCCCTCAGCCCGCAGGCTGCGCGTTGCAGCGCATGACTCCGAAGAGCCTTCTAAAGCGCTTCAGCAACAAGCTGGTGCTCGTGTTCGGCGACAGCATCTCGAAGAATTTCGCCGGGTCCGTCGCGTGCGTGCTGTACGCCGCATGCGAGCTGCTCCCGCTTCTTGCTACCACCCACATTCTGCCCTTTTCCCTCCCCATTCCTCCCTTCCCGCTTCCCCCTCCCCTTTTCCATCCCCTTCTCCCCGCCAGCCCGCAGGCTGCGCGTTGCAGCGCATGACTCCGAAGAGCCTTCTAAAGCGCTTCAGCAACAAGCTGGTGCTCGTGTTCGGCGACAGCATCTCGAAGAATTTCGCCGGGTCCGTCGCGTGCGTGCTGTACGCCGCATGCGAGCTGCTCCCGCTTCTTGCTACCACCCACATTCTGCCCTTTTCCCTCCCCATTCCTCCCTTCCCGCTTCCCCCTCCCCTTTTCCATCCCCTTCTCCCCGCCAGCCCGCAGGCTGCGCGTTGCAGCGCATGACTCCGAAGAGCCTTCTAAAGCGCTTCAGCAACAAGCTGGTGCTCGTGTTCGGCGACAGCATCTCGAAGAATTTCGCCGGGTCCGTCGCGTGCGTGCTGTACGCAGCGTCGCCCGGCACCATCCAGAATTTCCGCATCGCCAACGGCAACACCAAGGCGTACGGCGTCAGGGTGAGATGGGAAGAAACGACACGTCAGGGTGAGATGAGAAGAAACGACACGTCAGGGTGAGATGAGAAGAAACGACCCGTCAGGGTGAGATGAGAAGAAACAACACGTCAGGGTGAGATGAGAAGAAACAACACGTCAGGGTGAGATGAGAAGAAACAACACGTCAGGGTGAGCTGAGTTGTAACGACACGTCAGGGTCGTCATTGACTGGCTGAATCTTGAGTCAACTTAAAACTATTTCCTCCCCTCTTGCCTGTTGGTAATACAATTCAGGCTCCTTGTCTCAACGCTTATTTCCCACTTTCCCTCCCTCCCCCCGAATTTCTCTTCCCCCCTGTTAACAAAACCGATTCAGGTTCCTCGTTCCAACCCTTGGTTCGCGCCAGTCTTCTCCAATTGGCTGAACCAGGCGACTCGGAACTGCTTTTGAGGCTTCTCATTTCCCCTCCCCTCCCCACCCCCCTCTTTCCCACCTCCTCCCCTCTTCCATGCTGGTAACCCGATTCAGGTTCCTCATTTCAGAACTCGGTTCGCGTCGGTGTTCTCCAATTGGCTGAACCACGCGAGCGGGCTGGGCGGCAGTATGAACCGCGTTGACCTCGATCAGATCGACCCGCAGATCACCGATCTCCTCCCACTGGCCGACATTGTTGTTTTCCAGGTATGGTTTTAGCATTCTCAGACGTTGGTTGAGCCAGGCGAGCGGGCTGGGCGGCAGCATGAACCGCGTTGACCTTGATAAGATCGACCCGCAGATCACCGAACTCCTCCCACTGGCCGACTTTGTCGTTTTCCAGGTGAGCTTGCACACTTAAGATTGCTCTGTTACCCTCCTTTTCCTCCCCTTCCTCCCCTTCTCCCTCCCCACCTTCCCCTTTCCCCGCCCCAGCCGTCCCCATACCCTTTATTATCTCTCCTTCACCTATTGTATAGTGCAGTGTTCTCACGTCCTCCATCCCTCCCTCCCTACGTCTCTCTCTACCTCCCTCCCTACCTCCCTTCTTTCTCGCCTCCAGGCGACCAAGTGGAGGTTCCTGGCAGTCAACAGTTAAGAAGAAACACACAGGCCTGGATGCGTGTGCGAACGCGTTTCGGCCAGCAAAGGCCTCCCTCCCTCCCTTCTTTCTCGCCTCCAGGCAACCAAGTGGTGGCTCCCGAAAATCAACAAGTGGTACTTGGGCGGCAAAGAGCAGAAACTCTCCAGGGAAGCAGCTTACGAGATCGGCCTCAAGACTCTGCGCGATTACGTGGTCAAGTCGGGCTTTAAGGGCCGCGTTGCCCTGCTGGGTGCGTCGCCCTCCCACTATAAGGTCCCCGGACCCCGGGTTGAAAGAGCTGTCGTGTGAGACCAGCAAAATGCTGACAGCGCAGCAGGTAAACCATTTATTTGTAACAGTGAGGCATCTTATCATGAATGTGTTATATGTCATGTTACGAGGGATTGGTGCTAGGCATTGTTATGCGTCATGTCGCCTTCCCATAATGAGGCTCCACGTTTGAAGAGCGGCTCTACAGAGACCATCCCTCCAGGTTTGAAGAGAGGCTCTACAGAGACAATCCCTCCAGGTTTGAAGAGAGGTTCAACAGAGACCATCAATAACAATTGCAGCACAACAAGGAGCAAGTGAGCAACATGAATCCTGTTGCATGCGCAATCTTTGCTTGCTTGCATGTTTCGTTGTCTTTTTCTTCTTTTTTTGCTTACCTCCGTCCAACACACAGGCAGAGGAGTTTGCAAAAGGGAACAGCACCAGTAACAATTTCAGGGAGATTCAGATGAGGGTTCTGTCAGGGTCTCCAATGCGCTACGTGGACGTTACACCTATGAGTGACTATCAGGGCCTCAGATTGGTTTTGAGCTAGGCTGAACCAATCAGAGTTGGTACAAAAAATTATGCTAAAAATCAGAAAAATCTGCCATTTTATGCCAGTTTACACTACAAATCACATAAATTTTCCTGATTTTTCACAGAAAAATGCTGAAAAACCAGCCACAGTTCTAAAAAAAGGTCTGAAATCTCAGCCTTTTTTACCCAAATCAGCCTTTTTTCGCTGACTTCTGAGGCCCTGGTGACTATCACCCGGATGGCCATGTCCAGAAATGGACGGTGAAAGGTGAGGATTTTTAGTGGTGCATAAGCAAAGTAACTACACCACGTTTCTATTTTTGCTAACACTCATGGTTTTTGTCCAACTTCACCATATCTTGGCAGGAGGGGCTCCAGCGGGTAAGAAGAACGATTGTGTTCATTGGTGTGAAGGTGGTGTCACAGACACTTGGCTTGAAGTGCTTTACAACAATCTTCTCCTTTAGAGTTGTTTAGTCAATGTTTTTCCTCTTTTAACACTATATGCATTTGCAGTAACTGTTGTAAGTTTTTCATGAGCATTGGCACTTGACTTGAAGTTATGACAAACATTTTATAACCGTGTTCTGACATAAAGATGGAGTTTAGGAATGTTATCTCTGTATGGTAGTCTGTATGGAAGGATGACATAAACTCAATAACGTACATCCCAGAGTCGAATCACGCGGCGCCGTCATAACCGCCTAGTGCGCTTGTACGAGCTCACTGCTCAATTTGGACATGTCGGCGGATGAAAATGCGCCCGAGATTGTGAGTTTTGAATTTACCTCAGCACCCAGAGGAATTCCGTGCCCTGTAAAGTGGGAGCTTACGAAAGAAAAGTCCTTGGTAAGCGACACTTTCAGCGAATGCCCCAAAGTTAGCTGTGTGGAAGTGGGCAGCAGCAGCGATGGCTCGTGATTTGCGAACTGACTACACTTCACGCTCTCGGACTGTTATATTTCAGGCCCCCAGAACCCCAAATCTATAGACTCAAAAATAATGTACGGCAGAAGTTTTGGGCGAGACGCGACTTGACAAGCGCCGCTCATGTTCCACCAGTGCTCCCCTTGAGTGCTCAGTCCATGCATTTTGCCTTTCCACCCCGTTATTCACAAGCAACACAACTCTGGTCATGTGGGATGCATAGCTGCTACAGAGGCCCGTCTTAGATTCCTGGCAGGCAAGGGTGACTGGTTTTGAGGAGAATCTGCGGGAATACTTCATAAGTCAAACCAATCCATTTCGAAAGCTTGCAGCACGAACAGCTGAGCAGAGCTTAGTGAAAAGCGTAATAAAGGGCGGAGCCGACTGATAGTCTGATACATTCGGCGCATTCCATACACGGCCTGCTACGTCCCCACGATGTCTCCAACACGTCATCTGCTGCTTCTCTCCGTTTGCCTCTTAGCAGCAGCTGCAAACCTCCCAACCGCCAGCGCGCAAAGTACGTGGGGCTGTAGTGCACACTTCTGTGTGCTCCGTTACCGTCATCTTGCCGCTCCACTTCCGTTTCCCGTCTCCGTTTCCGTCACCGTACCCCCGTCGTCCCGCGACAGTCGTGCAATACTTTCGTCACAAAGTCTTCAATACCTACTACTAGTGGTGTTCCACTACCGCATTCAAGCGACATTGATCCTCACGTAGTTGCGCTTCGCAATTACGTTCTCACCATGCAGATGGGACAAATGTCGCTGCTGGATCCTGGAACAAGCTTGCTTTTCGCGAATACATTCTCACAAACTTGCGCTTTGCATTTACATTCTCACCAACGCAGATGCGACAAGGGTTGCCGCTGGATCCTGGAACTGCGACATTTCGAAGGGACGGTGGATTTCCGCGGCTCGGCATCTTCCGCGTTACACGGGGCTGACGTGTCCGTACATTCGCTCGAGCCAGAACTGCCAGAGCCAGGGACGGCCCGACCTACAATTCCAGAAATACAGATGGGTGGTACGTTTACGCTGCATTAACACGATATCACGTCAACCTCACATTCCGCCATTCCCTGAGCTGTATATACGCGCGATTCTACCCACACCCTAGCCGTCAGGGCGTACAAGGGGAGTATAGCGAGGGAATGTTACTTGTACCAGTGCTCATACTACGACTTTCGGGGGCGGGTCAATCCACACCCTAACCGCCAGAGCGTACTATTGACGTGTTACTTCCGCTAGAGTTTTTACTACGACTTGTGAGGCGCGTCGCGTCAAAACGACAGCTTAGCCGTCAGGCGTACTACGCGAGGATCGCGAGGGGGAGTTACTCCTCTTTTAGTGTTCTCACGGCGACAGCGTCTCGTAAGACTTCGCCCGGCCCGTCGCATCCGACGCATGCATCGTGTGTGATATGCTGTGCAATGCCACCCGACAAATTCTTCTCACTCTCAACCCCCTCCTCTCCCAACCCCACTCTCCGCCTCCCACTCTTTCCCCCTCCCTTTTCGCCCCTCCCCCTTCCCCCTCTCCCCCTCTCCCACAGCCCGCAGGCTGCGCATTGCAGCGCATGACGCCGAAGCGCCTGCTGACGCGCTTTCGCAACAAGCTGGTGCTCGTGTTTGGCGACAGCGTCTCGAAGAATTTCGCCGGATCCGTCGCGTGCGTGCTGCACGCCGCGTCGCCCGGCACCATCCAGAATTTCCGCATCGCCAACGGCAACACCAAGGCGTACGGCGTCAGGGTGAGATGATACAACACGAACGGGATATGGTCTGTCCAGCTGAGATGAGACGCAAGCAAGGCTGTGAGCATAAACCAACCCTCCTGGCATCACAAAATCCCACTCCTTTCTCCCCTTTCCCCATTTGGTGACAACACACAGGTAAACAACAAACATGGTTAGTCAACTCACGTACCTCCTCCCTGTGGGCAGCCCAACACAGGCTCCTCGCTCCAATGCTTCTTCCGTTGCTCTTGAGAATTCTCAGAAACGGCTCCACCACTTTTCCCCGACCTCACCTCTTCCCCTCTTCCCATCTTCCTCCCACCTCACCTCCCAACCCCGTCCCTTGGTAACCCGATTCAGGTCCCTAGTACCAACACTCGTTTCGCGTCAGTGTTCTCCAATTGGCTGAACCAGGCGAGCGGGCTGGGCGGCAGCATGAACCGTGTTGACCTTGATAAGATCGACCCACAGATCACCGACCTCCTGCCACTGGCCGACATTGTCGTTTTTCAGGTGAAATTTCGCACTGTAGTTTGCTCTGCCACCCCCTTTCCCCCCTCCCCCTCCCTCCCCTTCCACCCCCCTCCCTCCCCTAACCTTTTTTCCTCCTCCCCCTCCCCTATAGTATATCCAGTCCTTTCATGTCCCGACTGCTTTCCCTTCTCTCTGCCTCCCTCCCTGCCTCCCTCCCTGCCTCCCTCCCTGCCACCCTCCCTCCATCCCGTACTTCCTTCCCAGACCTTATCTTATTGAATGTCCCTTTTTCCCTCCCCTTTTCTTCACTCCCTCCAGGCCACCAACTGGTGGTTCCCAGCCATCAACCAGTGGTACTTGGGCGTCAAGGAGCAGTCATTGTCCAAGGAGGGGCAGCCTACGAGATAACCTTACCTTAGTGAATGTCCCTTTTTCCCTCCCTTTCTTCTCTCCACCTTACCTTATTGAATGTCCCTTTTTCCCTCCCCCTTTCTTCACTCCCTCCAGGCCACCAACTGGTGGTTCCCAGCCATCAACAAGTGGTACTTGGGCGGCAAGGAGCAGTCATTGTCCAAGGAGGGGCAGCCTACGAGATAACCTTACCTTAGTGAATGTCCCTTTTTCCCTCCCTTTCTTCTCTCCACCTTACCTTATTGAATGTCCCTTTTTCCCTCCCCCTTTCTTCACTCCCTCCAGGCCACCAACTGGTGGTTCCCAGCCATCAACAAGTGGTACTTGGGCGGCAAGGAGCAGTCCTTGTCCAAGGAGGCTGCATACGAGATTGGCCTCAAGACTCTGCGTGACTATGTGGTCAAGTCGGGCTTTAAGGGCCGCGTTGCCCTGGTGGGAGTGTCCCCCTCCCACTACAAGGTCCCCGGGCTGAAGGAGGGGTCTTGCGAGACCAGTAAAATTCTCACAGCACAGCAGGTAAGAAACTGATTTGGGACAATAGGGGATTGTAACATCATTAATGCGTCTCTGACACGTTATATGTCACATCACGAGGGTTTGGTGCAAGGCACTGTCATGTGTCATGTCACCTTCCCACAACAAGGTTTCGGGACTGAAGAGAAGTTCAATATAGACGAACAAATTGCTTCAGCACAACATTGAAAAAGCGAGCTTAAGCTTCCACGCATGATGTTTGTTTGCTACATGTTTCGCCTGCCCCCAACACACAGGCAGAGGAGCTTGCGAAGGGTGACAAGTTCCGGGAGATTCAGATGAGGGTCTTGTCAGGTTCTCCAATAAGCTATGTCGACGTTGCGCCAATGAGCTATTATCGCCCGGATGGCCACGTCCAAAAATGGATGGTGAAAGGTGAGGATTTGGTTTGTTGCAAATTAATCATATTTACCACATTTCTGTTTTTGTTGTCGTGACACTCATGGCTTTCGTCCAACTATTGCCATATCTTGGCAGGGGGGGCTCCAGTGGGCAAGAAAAACGACTGCCTTCATTGGTGTGAAGGTGGTGTCACAGATACGTGGCTTGAAATGCTCTTCAACCAGCTACTCTTTTAAAGTGTAGTTTATAAACCGTATTGTGTAGCCAATTGTGAATGAGTGTTACGGGTGCAATTGAACTACCCTAGCAAATTAAATTGCAGTTAAAGGGTCAAAGCGAGTACAAAATATGAGCGAACATGTGAGCAAACATTTATAGCTAAAACATCAAACTGTAATGTGGTGCGTGCGGGCTAGCTAGTGCATTGCTAGGTTTGGGCTAGCCCCAAAGCGTAGGCCGATTCGGCCAAGTCAAGCAATGAGAGGTTTGGTAAAAGTGACGCGCGAATGCCAAATAACTCCTTACAATTAGCTGGAGATGTGACAAGCTTTTATTATATTTGTATTACCTTTTTGTTGGGTGGTCAAGAAGCTCTATACATGTATTGACGGTATAGCATTCCGGCGCGATTTGTTCCAATACACTGACTGACCTTTTGGCCCCGTTTGTGTCTCGAGCCGTCTTTCCATCCAGCGCTTCATTGCCCGACCATGCCGACTCGGGGGAGCGTCTGTTGGATTGGTCAAACATAGCCTACGACCTTCATCATAATCGCTTCGCCAATTTTCAATGTCCATTTCCCGTCTACGAACCGCCCGATTCCATCAAACACATGCTTCCTTTCGCCCAACCGTACGATAATCTCACCTCACCACCACCCACCACTAATTTTACCGCACCGCAACTATCACACCAGCAGCAGCTTCAGACTAATGCAACCTGAAATTGCGCCCCCCGCGGCCCCACCCCCACCCACACCAACCTCGCCAGAGACTTCGCTGCTGAGAACTTGGTCGAAAAAAACCGAGAATAACAGTTCTGCTCTGCTGCACTCTAACCGCGAAAGACCCATCGAGTAACCACCGTGGCTTTTGTTTTCCGTCCAATTTCTCCCTCCTACAGCGACGCCAGTAGCGCACCGAAGGACGTATTCTATCCGTCATTTTTATTCAAACACACGCATTCTCGCTGCCTACCTAGTGGCCCTAACAGTGCCGTGTCGTGTGCGCTGCGCTGCGCACTGGCTTCCTTCGACAGCAAGGAGGGAGGACCTACAGCTTGCTCCTTCACTCTCCCGCCGACCAGAAAACTGGAAGGAACCAGAAGTACATAACAGTGTTCCTCACTTGAATCAGTACTACAGGGAGGCATTTTTAAACTTCGCATCGCATTTTTCTTGCCGCTTAGTACGCGCTGCGGGGCCTGCCTGCCACCAAGGGTTTTACACACAATTCACTACGGGCCAAAGAAGTCCAGCTGGGTGGGATCGATTTTCACGTTGCTTTCAGTTCAGTCGCTCATACATACATAGCAGTAGTTCTTGACCATTGGCCGTGGTCGGGTTGTGAGGCGCCTCAAATCAAAACTAGACGTTGCTTTCAGTTCAGTCGCTCATACAGGGCAGTAGTTCTTGACCATTGGCCGTGGTCGGCGAATCTTGCACTCCTCATCCCACCCAACGACAAACCCACACACATGCCCGTTAGTCACAACACAAGCTCTCGCTCCCTCCTCCGAGGTGACTTTTCGAGTCGACTCAAAAGTCACCAAACCCACACCCATGCCCCTTAGTCACAACAACACAAGCTCTCGCTCCCTCCTCCGTAGATAGAAACTACTGTTGCTGTCAGGTCGCCTTTTTTTGCAAGGAGCCTTCTTAGTGGCACAGAGTAAGAGAGTGCGAGTAGCCAAGATACGGTGCTTTTATTAACAGGCACAGGGCAAGGGACGCGAAAGTAAGAGGCGAAGATGGCGGCAGATTGGCGAAATATGGTAACCCTATCGGTCTTCGCGTTGGTGTTCCTCGCCATCGTCGAGAAAAGTCCGCCCGGCGCCCTGGCCTACAGCAGTTTCAAAAAGAAGCTCACGCCCATCCCCTTTCCCAGTCCCCTCCCCAGTAAGCCCCTTCCTCCCAGCACCTTCCCCAGTAAGCCCCTTCCCGCCAGTCCCCTCCCCAGCCCCTTCCCCTCAGCCCCTTCCCCTCAGCCCCTTCCCCAGTAAGCCTCAAGCTCCTTCCCAGTAGGTCCCTTTCCCAGTAATCCGCTATTCTTATAACCAATTGTTTCAACTTCGGTAAGGGGTGCGTGTTCTATTCGGCTTTCGCCCCAAGTACCAGAAGCTAGTGATGTCGCTCCTCCCTTACTTATGCAAAGGCCCCCCTTCTTCCCCCTCTCCCCCATCTTCTCCCCCTTCCCCTCCCTTCCCCTTCATCGTCTCGACCACCGCACCCCCCATCCCCCCACTCCCCACCCCCTTCCCCTCCCCCCAACATCACGCCCCACACAACCCCACCAACCTCACCACCAGGCGCGACCGATCCAGACCCCCCCAAACCGTGGACCTGCGATGTTTCCTCTGGAAGCTGGACAACTTCCGCGAACCTTCCACTCTACACCGGGCTGACGTGTCCGTACATCCGCTCCGGCCACAACTGCCAGACCGCGGGGCGCTCCGATATGAGTTATCAGAAACTGCGCTGGCGGGTAGGTCTTACGCGTTTATAGCACATATACGCGTCAAATAGCATGTACACTTGTTATTAGCACTCTCACGTGTTCCTACATCCGCTCCGGCCACAACTGCCAGACCGCGGGGCGCTCCGATATGAGTTATCAGAAACTGCGCTGGCGGGTAGGTGTTACGCGTTTGTAGCACATATACGCGTCAAATAGCATGTACACTTGTTATTAGCACTCTCACGTGTTCTTACATCCGCTCCGGCCACAACTGCCAGACCGCGGGGCGCTCCGATATGAGCTACCAGAAGCAGCGCTGGCGGGTAGGTCATACGCGCTATTAGCACATATACTCGTCATTAGCTCTGCTGTGCTCATCCCGCGCTGCTCCTACCTCCTCTACCTTCCCTTCCCTTCACCTGCTACCATTCTCCCTCCCACACCAGCCTTGGGGTTGCAAGGTGGTGCAGTTGACCCCACAACGCCTCCTCGCTCTCTTCCGAAACAAGACGGTGGTCGTGTTCGGCGATAGCGTCTCTAAAGACCTCTCCACGTCGCTACGCTGCGTGCTCACACCATTCCCAAGTCCCCATTCCCTTCCCTCCCCTCTCCCACACCAGCCGTGGGGGTGCAAGGTGGTGCAGTTGACGCCACAGAGACTCCTCACTCTCTTCCGCAACAAGACGGTCGTGGTGTTCGGCGACAGCGTCTCTAAGGACCTCTCCACGTCGCTGCGCTGCATGCTGCACGCCGCCAGCCCCAACTTCTCGCGATTCAAGCTCGCAGGAGGGGCGACGAGAGTGTGGGGCGAGAAGGTGAGCGACAGAGAGGAAACAAAAAGTGATCTTTCTTCCCAAATGCATCTCAACCTTCCTCCTCTGCCTCTCCTCCCAACCTCTCCTCCCTGATCATCTCACTCCGCCATCTCTCTCCCCCATCTCACTCCCCCATCTCATTCCCCATCCGTCTCCCCCCATGCTACATCCGCATAGTGTCGCTCTTCTCCTCGCATCTCAACCACATTGGGTTCATCCCCGATGCATCCCAACCTCCGTCCCTTATCATCTCCTTCATCTCCCTCTCTCCCGGTTCACGTCCCCATCTCACTACCCTCCTCACTCGCCCATATCTCTCTTCTCACTCCCACATCTCACATGTTCAGGTGGAACCCCAAAACATCCGCATAGTGTCGCTCTTCTCCTCGCATCTCAACGACATTGGGTTCATCCCCGACGCATCCCAACCTCCTTCTGCCGCTGCTGCTGCTGCCGGTGTTGGCGGTGTTGGCGCTAATGGTGCTGGTGCTGGTTGTGATGTTAGTGCATCTAATGCTGCTGCTGCGGCGTCTGTTGATAGAACGGAGGAAGCTCGAGAAGAAGCTGTTAGAGCAGTGGCAACCGAAGCAGACATAGCACGAGCCACCACAATGAGTGCCACTGCCGCTGCTGCCGAAGCAGGAACAGCAGTGGCAACAGGAGAAGCAGGGGAAACAACAGCAGCAACAAGAGCAGCAAGAGGAGCAGGTTCCGGGAATCTTCCAGGGAGAGTCTCACCCCAAGCGCAGCAGCAAGCACGACGAGTCTTCCTCGACCAGATCGACCCAAAGATTAAAGACCTGCTCCCTAAAGCCGACATAGTTATTTTCCAGGCGACTAACTGGTGGTACGCGGAAGACAACCAGTGGTTCCTAGGCGGCAGGCAGCAGAAAATAACGCGAGACGCAGCCTATGCGATCGGGCTGGCGACTCTAAGAGACCATGTGGCGCGGTCGGGCTTTAAGGGGAAGGCGGTGGTGATGGGCGTGTCTCCTTCGCACTATATCGTCCCGGTGGCTGGGATGAAGAAGGGGAAATGCGACATTAACACGCGTCTTGACTGGAACCAGGTAAGCAGTTACTTCAGAAATGAATTTAACGGGAAGGCGGTGGTGATGGGTGTGTTTCCTTGGGAAGTTAAGCAGGGGAAGTTAAGCAGTGATGGGTGCACTATATTGTGCCGGTTCCGGGGATCAAAATGGGGAGATACAATATCAGCAGGCATCTCAACTGGAACTAGGTGAGAGATTACTTCATAGAAAAGTGAGGATGAGCAATAACTTCAGAAAAATGAGGATGAGCAATTACTTCATAGAAAAATGAGGATGAGCAATTACTTCATAATATAATGAGGATGAGCAGTTGAATGTCTGAATTGTGCAGGGTGCAGCTGATAGAACCAAAGTATATGAACAGTTTTGAAATATATATATATATATATATATATTCCCTCCTGCCTTACCTTCTAAGCAGACGAAGGAAGTGAGGCGTATGGGGTGAGCAAGGTGCAGCTGCAGGTGCTGAAATCATCTCTGTTCTTCCCACTCCTCGCTGCCTTCCTTCCTCCATCCGCTCCTTCCACCCTTCTCCATTCAGACAAAAGAACTGAGGATGGATGACCGATCATTTGAAATGCGCAAGGTGCAGCTGCAGGTGCTGAAATCATCTCTATTCTCCCCACTCCTTGTTGCCTTCCTTTCTCCGTCCGCTCCTCCCAACCTTATCCATTCAAACGAAGGAAGTGAGGAGGATGGACAGCCGATCATTTGAAATGCACAAGGTGCAGCTGCAAGTGCACAAAGCATCTCTATTCTTCACTCTCCTTGTTGCCTTGCTTTCTCCATTCAGACCAAGGAAGTGAGGAGGATGGACAGCCGGTCATTTGAAATGCGGAAGGTGCAGCTGCAGGTGCTGAAAGGGTCACGGCTGCGATACGTGGACGTGTTACCAATGAGCTTCTGGCGGCCAGATGGGCATGTATCGAAATGGAATGTACCAGGTGCGTCACTGTACTGTGTATTACATATGGGTTGTGTTTTTAAGAGCGAGCTTTATCTTTTCTGATTCTATCCTTTTCAAACACCCCTTCTACCGCATCATCCCTGGGCAGGTGGTAACACTGGAAAGCAAGATTGTCTGCACTGGTGTGAAGCTGGTGTAACAGATGCGTGGGTGGAAATGCTATACAATACACTGCTTTATTAAGCAGGAAAACCCAACCCTGCAGTATTCTGGTTAAGAATCCTTGCACATAAAACTAAATATACGGTACACTGACCTAGGGTCCTAATGGTTGCTTCCAATATCAAAATGTCAATCACTACAATAGACAATAAAACTGCATATGCTTGCCCTGCATTTTGTGAGTGTTTCCAATACGGTATACATCGATACGCAGATTGAGAAAGCTTGCTTTCTTTCTTATCAATTGACATCGTTCTCATTACAAATGGCGTATTACAACATTTGCATCATCGTTCGACATAAGCTAGTGGGGACTAATAACACTAGCTATTATGTACCCTATCCAAGTGGCATTAGCAAGGCGGTTTACACTGGGGTGGGTGGTGGGAATGTTGAGTGAGCCGTTTGAAAATTGAGAAACGTGGGTGGAGGGAAATGAGCTCCAACCCACGGTTTTTGTAGTTGGAGAAGGGCGTTTAGCGCGCTTCGACGATGCCAATTGTGCAGTACAGGCAGCTTCGCTTTCACAATACACAATTTTTAAAAACACTACATGTGTGTTTAAAAATTATAATTTCTCATACGGCATAAATATTCACATGGATGAAAAGCTCCATAATACGAGTAACAGTTACAGCACCCGGTATGTGCAATGGGTTGGGGATTCATGTTACATCAACTACCGGTACTACATGGATGTCAATCTGTGGGCATCCTGTCTGCAGCAGAAGTTGAGTTCACAGCGCATTCCACCACGCCTGAGCACCCCACATCGTGTAGCCCTGCAGGCAACCACCACACGTACACAGTGAGACGCAAGGTGATGCCTTAAAGCCCAGACTCAATCCGTGGGAATCCTGTCAGCAGCAGAGGATGAGTGCACTGCACACTCCACCACGCCCGAGCACCCCACATCGTGTAGCCCTGCAGGCAACCACCACCGCACACCACAGATGCAGAGACCCATGGTGATCAATTAAAGCCCAGATTCTAGCAACAAGGTTAAAGCCAATCCGTGAGCATCCTATCAGCAACAGAGGTTGAGTTCATGGCACACTCCACCTCGCCCGAGCACCCCACATCGTGCAGCCATGCGGGCAACCAATCATCACCGCACACCACACATAGACAGATACACGAACAGACACAAGGCGAATCTTGAAGCCCAGCTCCAAGTCACAGCAAATCTGCTGTGACCTGTTGGGCTGAGTGCTCCCATGACATTTGGTACAGCCTTCCTCTCCTGTATGTAGTGCCATGTATGTGGTACCTGGCATGTATGTGGTACCTGGGAGTGGTACCTGGCATGTATGTGATACCTGGCATGTATGTGGCACCTGGCATGTAATACTATATGAAGGCATGGTGACACCGAGCAACTCATTTTTCCATGCCTGTTCCAAGCTCGGTTTTCCCTGCTGGAACCTCTCCCTTATCATCCTAAAGTTGCCCTGTTTCATTCCCACCTTCCCATGCTGCAAGGACACCTTTTCAAACGTTACATGCTCCGAGTTCCATTTTGTGATGAGTATCCATGTCACTTCACACGTCCACCTTCCCCTGCGACACAAACCCGCCCTTTCTTACAGAGTTCACCATCCCCTGCGACACAAACCCGCCCTTTCTTACAGAGTTCACCTTCCCCTGCGACACAAACCCGCCCTTTCTTACAGAGTTCACCTTCCCCGTCACCGATTTCAAGCTAACGTCTCACTGTTGCAAGCCCAACTTTCCCAAGCTCACCTTTCCCTGCTCCAAGCTCACCTTTCCCCGTCTGCGCGGCCTGGCAGGCGCGCATGGTCTTGCAGTGCTCCGCCTCGTCGTCGCGGATGTTCACAAACACGTCGTACAGACTCTCCACGCGCGGGGATGGCCGCTCCGTATCAGCCTGCATCTGAAACCCGTCGAAGCGGTACAGGTTACCCCCGTTATAGTAACTCACCGCTATCTGAACAGGAGGGAAACGTGAAGGAGAAACAGTTAGGATCAGAACCGGGGGGAAAGGAAGTTTCGAGAGTGAGTCAGAATCCGTGTGACTGAAGGAGCTGATTCCAGAAGAGTGGTGAGCTGTAAGAATCCGGTCATGTAAAGCGTGATGGGTATACACCGCAAACAGGAGCTGCACAATGAGAACTGGATCAATAGTAACGAGGATAGGGTGTAATACCTCAGGAGCAGGCTGCGTCTTGAGAATGTCGCCTTGGCTCATGAGGAACTTATCGTACGTTTCATACGCATGCTCCTCGACCAGCTCCGATAGATGATACGCCATGCGAGGGCTGATCAGGTAACAGAAAATGGCGAAGAAGTAGTAACCGACGGCGATGTGCTGTGCGACGAACCGATCCACCCAGCTCCGGTCGCCGCCGAGAGACTCCATGATCATGAGATGGTGCGTTTCGTTCACGCTCTCGTCGAAATGGGCTTTAAGGAACTCGATCCGTCGCCACCAGCCGAAGCTCTCGTACAGATGGAGGATCGAAACGTACGAGAAGTATGGAACGCGCGCGATCGTTTCGAGGACGTAGAACCGAGCGTACGCGCGCTCCGTCGTCCCGTAAAAGGCGTTCAGGATGTGAAACGCGGCGTCGGTAATCAGTTTGTTGATTCCTCGTTCTAGGGATACCACAGCTCGAGCAGGCTGGGTGTCAGGAAGAGGATTCGGACATAAGGGAAAATTATCGATCGCTGTGGGTATCGAGGATGTGTTAATGGAGGATGTAGGGTCGACAGGAGCAATGGTGGAAGCGGAAGCTTCAGCTTGTACACTGTCTCTTGCGGGTGTTTTCAAGTTTCGACCCTTACGAGCTTGAGAGTCTGAAGATGAAGTCGACAAAGGAGACGAGCTGGCTTGGCAAGTGCATGTCAACGTAGCAGAGGCGGTGGGTCTGGAACGCAGCGCTAAGGTCGTCACTTTGGCTGAAAATTCACGTTGAGATCGTCTGTCAGTGCATTTCAAGTTAGTGCTCTGACATGCCGTGTTGCGTACATTCAGCTGGACGGACGAGGCGGAAGACATGGTGATGGTGCGGAAAAAGCCACCGAAGGCAATTTATTTGATAGATTAGCTATAGATCAACCTTGAGCTAGGAGCCCGCAGACGCGACGCGAGTGCTAAAGTCTGCAAGGAGTGCCGAGGACTCCGGAGTTGGGAAACGCGTTCTAGAGAGGGAGAACTGGAGTAGTTCAACGAGCACGTCTTGTAGCAGTCCCACACAACATGTTGGTGATTGCAAGGACTTTGTCCCAGACTTCGACCTGAAACCGTAATGCATCTTTGTTTCTAAAATCTGAACCTAGCAAGGCCGCTTCTAACCCGTTCAAGAAAGACTCCAGCAATTGTTGCTTCTCGATCAGTGCGTGCATCTCTGGGAAACTCCTTGTAATTTTGGCTTCCCACTTACCCTTTGCCAGTTGAAATCGGTATAAAGGATTATTGAAGACACTTTTTGCTGGGTGGAAGGTGGAGTTGGTTGTACAGTGTGGGACCTCCCAGTAGCCTGGTTGGAGAGCATGAGAAAGAACCGCCACTTCGGATTGTTAGTGTAAATTCTAGTTGCCCTGGTAGCAAACACAGAACTGTATGTGATGACGCTGTCGGCTTCTGCTTCTTTTTACTGGTGGCGCTTGGTGGTCATGAGTAGCTGGCCAATCCTTTCAAGCGCTTTGATGACGTCGCCCTCCGACCTGGCCACCACGAGCCTCATTGGTGTGTCAAGTCGGCGTGGCGAGATGATGGCGAATATCGGGATAGTGCTGGAGAAAAGTGTACAAGACACCCTTGCACCTATTCCTGCTTCTTCTGAGACTGCTGCGCTTGTGGCCCATTCAACATGAATGCGATATCCTCACTGTACATAATCTTACGATTGGCAAGGGAGATATATATTAGCATTGATAACCCTGAACTGAGTTGTCTGTTATAGTAACGCATTGTTATCACTAACGCTCGGTTTAGTCATGGCAGGCTAGGCGACATCAGGACCGGTGCAAGTGCAAATATCGCAGGATCGTCTGAAAATATCGAGCCCCACAATCGAGTGGGCAGATCGATTGGCGAAACGTGGCGACCGCGACGTTGTAACCATCGCCCCTTTAGAATTGACAGATCTCCCACGATCAGTGATCGGTCGTATTCGCACACCGTACAGAAATTTTGGCAAAAAAGAGCGCTGTAGCATGGTTACAGCGGAGTAAATAAGTCAACCGATCCGCACATCGATCGCGGCTGACGAACGATTGTCCACTTTTACCGGGTCCTCAGAGGCATGTCATGGAGGAGAACAGTAACCCTTCCCACCAACACGTCATCTCCTTCACATACCACGTCAGGGTGACCTGGACCGAGGGTCGAGAAGTTCGGGTGTCGTGCTCAGTTGCATTGGGGACGTATTCCAATCCCTAAGTCGGGTGGAAATGACTGGTTAGGAACGAGGTTCGCCACACAAACGACACTGTCATCCTGACCTCTCTCCAATCCATGGGCCTTGGAGACGACTCGCGAACCTGGTTGCTTCAACGACCCCCTGCTTGCCTGAAGACTGATGTACAAACACGCCCTGGAAACTCTTCTACTGGTTCAAGAAGCCAATACCAAGGGCGTTTCCAGAAGATGCTCCTCCTCTTCTGCTAAATCATTCCACACTTCTTGATTCACGTGACAGTTTCGACCATGTCTTCCGCATATGTCTGAAGCATGCAATAGCATTGCTTTTCCCCATTGTAGCTTTGGATTCTTAGCTTGTTCAGCTGTCAGTATAATTTTTATCCAAGTTTTGTACTATTGGTGGCGTATCAAGTCCAGCTTGTCAAGTTCCACATCAAAATTCACTTTACCGAGCTGTACTTTCCGCGAATTAGCAGATTATGGCGGCAGTGCTACGCTCAACATGTGTTCAGGACATTGTAGCAGGAAAGAAATGCCTCGTTTCCGTAGACGCTAACGCATCACTTTATAACGCGTTGGAACTCCTCCGCCGCCATGACATCACCGCCATGCCCGTCCGTTCCTCGCCGTCATTGGCGCAAGTCGCGCAGAGACGCCTGCTCGCGCAGATGTCGGCGATTTCGGCCTCGACGCGACGCACGCAGAACTACCCGCGGTCAATCATTGCACCTTCGAAAGTCTGTTTCACTGGAATGGTGAGTTCCCGGAGGGTAACGAGCGTGGAATAGAGCAACACAATTGTCGCCATTTTTCGTTATCAAAATAATTATAGTGAGTTCCCGGAGGATAAAGAGCGTGGTTGGACAGAGCAACACAAGATGATATCCATCCCCGGCTTATGCTAGAGTCACTATTGAAAAGAGAGTGTAGGGAGAGAAAACAAAAATATGAAACACACAAAAAAACACACTCAACAGTGAACTTCGTTATAGGGATTGATGTCCTGGATGTTCGTTTCTGTGTTATTGGGTTGGCAGATTTCAGTCATTGACATCACCATCTTCATCGCCAGACGCTGCAGCAGCACCAGCAGTAATGCCACCTCTGCCAGCACCGCCGCCACTGCCAGCGCCAGTTGTGGTAGGAGTATTGCCCTCGAGTCGATTCAGGAACAGCAGAGCGGGGAAGAAACGGAAGGGGAAGGAGAGGGTGAGGGGAAAGGAGCGGGAGAAGGGGAAGGAGCAGGTGAAGGGAGAAAAGGGAGTGAGGGGAGAGGAGGGGGTGAAAGGGGAAAAACCGAACAGGGAGGTGGAGGAAGGGGCAACGGAGGAGGAATGAGCGAGAAAAGGGGAGGGATTAGCGGGGTTGGGCGGCTGGAGTGGTTGAAAGAGGCTCGAGTGGCTGACGTGATGGGGAAGACGGAAGAGACTCGCACCATGCTCGTGCTGGACCCCCATGCTACGTGAGTGAGGGAGGGAGGGAGGTAGGGAGGGAGGGAGGGGGAGAGAGAGAAGGGAGGGGGTTTTAGGAAGACATAGAAGCAACCTATGCTGAAAGAGGCTCGGGTGGCTGATGTGATGGGGAAGACGGAGGAGACCCGCACCATGCTCGTGCTGGACCCGCATCCCACGTGAGTGAAGGCCTGAGAGGGAGGGAGAGAGAGAGAGGGAAAAGGGCGGGGTTTTATAGGAAGACAGAAGTAACCTATGTTGAAAGAGGCTCGAGTGGGTTATGTGATGGGAAAGACGGAGGAGACCCGCACCATGCTTGTGCTGGACCCGCATGCCACGTGAGTGAAGGCCTGGGAGGAAGAGAGAGAGAGGGGTTTTATAGGAAGACAGAAGCAACCCCCCCCCACGTGTAGTGAGTCGAGTTTTGAGTCGACTCAAAACTCGAATCCAGGGGCTTCCACCTGTGCTGAGGTCTCTCCTTCCCCATGTGTGCCTGTGCAACCTCCCCCCAGAGCAGTGCTCAACAGTGCACCCCGCAGACCTTGTCTTCCCCTTCCTCTCTTTTCAGGGTACTCCTAGCCATGTAGATATGATGGGATCTCGCGGCTTCCACCGAGCCTTTGTCTGAAAAGCCTGTCCTCAAGACCGCGATCAGTGTTCGATCAGACCAGCAATGTGCCTCACACTCCCCCTCTCCTTCCTCTCTCTCGCAGGGTACTCCAAGCAATGGAGCTGCTGGGATCTCGCGGCTTCCACCGAGCCTTTGTCTGAAAAGCCTGTCCTCAAGACCGCGATCAGTGTTCGATCAGACCAGCAATGTGCCTCACACTCCCCCTCTCCTTCCTCTCTCTCGCAGGGTACTCCAAGCAATGGAGCTGCTGGGATCTCGCGGCTTCCACCGAGCCTTTGTCTGAAAAGCCTGTCCTCAAGACCGCGATCAGTGTTCGATCAGACCAGCAATGTGCCTCACACTCCCCCTCTCCTTCCTCTCTCTCGCAGGGTACTCCAAGCAATGGAGCTGCTGGGATCTCGCGGCTTCCACCGAGCCTTTGTCTGAAAAGCCTGTCCTCAAGACCGCGATCAGTGTTCGATCAGACCAGCAATGTGCCTCACACTCCCCCTCTCCTTCCTCTCTCTCGCAGGGTACTCCAAGCAATGGAGCTGCTGGGATCTCGCGGCTTCCACCGAGCCTTTGTCTGAAAAGCCTGTCCTCAAGACCGCGATCAGTGTTCGATCAGACCAGCAATGTGCCTCACACTCCCCCTCTCCTTCCTCTCTCTCGCAGGGTTCTCCAAGCAATGGAGCTGCTGGGATCTCGCGGCTTCCACCGAGCCTTTGTCTGAAAAGCCTGTCCTCAAGACAACGATCAGTGTTCAATCAGACCAGCAATGTGCCTCACACTCCCCCTCTCCTTCCTCTCTCTCGCAGGGTACTCCAAGCAATGGAGCTGCTGGGATCTCGCGGCTTCCACCGAGCCCTCGTTCCCAACATGTGCCCGTGCGACCACGACCAAACCACCTCCATGCCCATGCCTGCACTGCTGCAGTCGCGCCTGGGAGGAGGAGAGGGGGGAACAGCAGGGGAGGAGTACCGTGTTCTGTCTCAGATGGACATTGCTGCGTTCATGCTCAAACACGAAGGGCTGCTGGGCTTGGCACTGGCTAAGAGGTACGCTCAAACCAGCACCATGGCTGTGCTGTGCTGGCAAAAAAGGGGGAACAGCAGGGGAGGAGTACCGAGTGCTTTCTCAGATGGACATTGCCTCGTTTATGCTCACACACGAGGGCCTGCTGGGCTTGGCACTCGCTAGAAGGTATGATGAAGGTCGCCGCATGCCCATGCTGGTAGTAGCTACTATCTAGAAGGTATAATCAGAGCCTGTGCTGTTGCAGTAGCAGCAAGAAGGGCTTCAGGTTTGAAACGGAGATGGACGGGAGGAATACTTTGTTGTCTGATATAGAAGTTTACTGTTCCTTTGCCTCACAGGCCTATTAGCTCAGCTGGTTAGAGCGTCGTGCTAATAACGCGAAGGTCACAGGTTCGAGACCTGTATGGGCCACGTTTTGTTGCTTCCTGCATTCCTTCCTTTTCTTCTTCCTCTTTTCTTCTGGGGCTGCCATTGGCTAAGAGGTATGATCAGACTGCCTGCCGTAGCTGTGCCGCCAGGGAAGAGGGGACAGGGACGGCAGGGGAGTTTTGAGACGTTTCAAAACACGCTGTGCCGCCAGGGGAGTTTTGAGACGTTTCAAAACACGCTGTGCCGCCAGGGGAGTTTTGAGACGTTTCAAAACACGCTGTGCCGCCAGGGGAGTTTTGAGACGTTTCAAAACACGCTGTGCCGCCAGGGGAGAGGGGACAGGGACGGCAGGGGATGAAGGAGTACCGAGTACTGTCCCAGATGGACATTGCTGCGTGCATGCTGAAGCACGAGGGGCTGCTGGGCTCGACACTGGCTATGAGGTAAGCTCAGCCCAGTACATGGCTGTGTTGCCGTAGAGGGGAGGGAAGGGGGGACAGGGTTTAGGGGAGGAGTACTGTGTGCTATGGCAGATGGACATTGGTGCGTTCATTTTCCAGGGGCTGCTGGGCTTGGCGCTGGATAAAGGGTGAGCTCAGACCACTGCCATGGCTGTGGGGCCGCCAGGGAAGGGGGGATGTGGCAGGGTAGGAGCATCGCGTTCTATCTCAGATGGACATTGCTGCGTTCATGCTCAAGCACGAGGGGCTGCTGGGCATGGCACTGACCACGAGGTAGGCTCAGCCCAGTACATGGCTGTGCTGCTGTAGACGGGAGGGGGGGGGGGACGGGTTTGGGGGAGGAGTATTGCAGCGTTCATGCTGAAGCACGAGGGGCAGCTGGGCTTGGCACTGACCACGAGGTAGGCTCAGCCCACTACATGGCTGTGCTGCTGTAGAGGGGAGGGGGGGTCAGGGTTTAGGGGAGGAGTGCCATGTGCTATCGCAGATGGACATCGGTGCGTGTGTTCATGCGTGCTCAAGCATGAAGGGCCTTTAGGCTATTTTTGAGGCGCCTCAGAAATCGTCAGGGTTTAGGGGAGGAGTGCCATGTGCTATCACAGATGGACATCGGTGCGTGTGTTCATGCGTGCTCAAGCATGAAGGGCCTTTAGGCTATTTTGGATCTGCTAGTGGATCTGCGTCCCATCCCCTTGTCTTTCACAGGGCCTTTAGGCTATTTTGAGGCGTCTCAAAACACTCCTTCTTTCACAGGGCCTTTAGGCTATTTTTGAGGCGCCTCAGAAATCGTCAGGGTTTAGGGGAGGAGTGCCATGTGCTATCACAGATGGACATCGGTGCGTGCGTTCATGCGTGCTCAAGCATGAAGGGCTTTTAGGCTTGGCGCTGGCTAAGAGGTAAGTCGGATCCACATTCAACCCCATGAGGTGACTGTTGTGAGGGGCTGCTGGGAGTGGTGGGAAGGGGGGTGCGGCAGGGGAGGAGTACCGAGTGCTGTCTCAGATGGACATTGCTGCATTTATGCTCAAGCATGAGGGGCTTTTAGGCCGAGCACTTGCTAAAAGGTATGAGCAAAGCAAACCTCCACCTTTGCTGTGCTGCCAGGAAGGGGGCATGGCTGGGGAGGAGTACCGAGTGCTGTCTCAGATGGACATTGCTGCATTTATGCTCAAGCATGAGGGACTTCTGGGCTTGGCACTGGCTAAGAGGTACGCTCAGCCCACTCGGCTAGGCTGCTGCGGAGGGGAGCTGTCTGGTTGTAACGAATCAACTAAAATTTTAAAAATCCTTTGGCAGGCCTATTAGCTCAGCTGGTTAGAGCGTCGTGCTAATATCGCGAAGGTCACAGGTTCGAGACCTGTATGGGCCATTGTTAGAGTTGGAATCTCTTGGTTCCTTTCACTCGCACCTTTTTGTCATGGACATTTGCAGAATAGACGACATTTGGCTGATCTGGCCGTCTGTCGTCTCGGTGACTCCATCCACTCGTCTTCTAGACGCATTCAACTTCCTTTTCTCTCTCGTTCTTGTTTTCTTCCCCTCTCATCCTTGCATTGCAGCATCGATGACATTGGGCTGGTCTGGCCGTCTGTGGTCTCCGTGACTCCTTCCACTCCTCTTTTAGACGCCTTCAACATGTTCCGAATCAGAGGGGTGAGTGCATGTCTTAGTGGCTGCAAAGAGGCTGCAAGCAGTAGAGGAACTTAGTGGGTGTGCACTTATTTTTTTCTCTCTGTGACTCCATCCTCTCCTCTTCTAGACGCATTCAACATGTTCCGAATCAGAGGGGTGAGTAAGTGTGTGTTATAGCAGAGGCTCCAAAGAGGCTGCAAGCAGTAGAGGACCATAGTGGGTGTGCGCTTGAACTTTTCTCTCTGTGACTCCAGCCTCTCCTCTCTTAGACGCATTCAACATGCTCCGAATTAGAGGGGTGAGTGAGCAGCGCATGCCTCAAGCTAGTGTTGGCCATTGACATGCCAATGGTTGCAAATCGGCAGTCAATCATTGATGCACCCACACCCACCCCTCTGCTGCACGCAAGATGTCTAGTTTTGAGGCGCCTCAGAACTGAGCTTGGCAATCAGGTGACTTTTGAGTCGACTCAAAAGTCACCTCAATTATTTATGCATCTACATCCACCCCTCTGCTGCACGCAACATGTTTCATCTCATAAAGTGGGTGTATTCAGCATTCACCGTACCCAATTCAACTCAGACTAACCAAACTTGAACGTCCTATTGATTCGGGTCTTGAAATGCCAAGGTCTCAGACTTGCTCAGGGTCCCAGACTTGCTCAGGGTCTCAGGGTCTCAGCATAAAGTGGGTGTATTCAGCATTCACCAGGGCCTCAGACTTGCTCACTCACCACTCACCCCCTGCATACTTGTACAGGTACGTGCAGTGACGGTCCATTGATTTGCAATGGACTGGTAGGTCCATTAATTTGCAATGGACTGGTAGGTCCATTGATTTGCAATGGACTGGTAGGTCCATTGATTTGCAATGGACTGGTAGGTCCATTTGTACCAGTCCATTGCAAATCAGGTAGCGTTTGATTTTCATGGTCTCTCGACATCCTACTCGTTCACGCCCTTTACCCACCCCACCCTCCCCACACAGACGAGGTCCGAGGCGTCTCAAAACTCATTAATTAGAATGCCACGTGTAGATAAGTGATTTCTGAGACGTCTCAAAACAATGCCACGTGTAGATAAGTGATTTCTGAGACGTCTCAAAACAATGCCACGTGTAGATAAGTGATTTCTGAGACGTCTAAAAACAATTCCACGCGTAGATAAGTGATTTCTGAGACGTCTCAAAACAATGCCACGCGTAGATAAGTGATTTCTGAGACGTCTAAAAAATCCCCACACAGACGAGGTCCGAGGCGTCTCAAAACTCGTTGATTAGGGTGCCTGTGACTCCATCCACATTCCTTCCCAGTTCTGCAGCCTGCCAGTCTATTCCCCCCAGGACCCCACCCAACCTGACCCTCACCTACCCAACCCCACCCATGTCAACCCATCTCCGCCCATCACCACCCCTCTGAAACCCAACAGATAAGCGCAGTAGCAGTGGTGCAGCCTAAGCCAGCTCCGCCAGCATTTGTGGTGGAGGAGGGGGGGGGTAGGGGAGCAGTGCCAGTGCTGCAGCCTTTGATCCTCCACCTGCCACCCCACCCACCCATCCCCACCCCTCCCAACACCTGCAGATAAGCGCAGTAGCAGTGGTGCAGCCTAAGCCAGCTCCGCCAGCAGTCGTGGTGGAAGAGGGGGGTGGGGACTCAAAGGACGAGGAGGGGGGGACTGAGAAGACGAAGGAAGCTTCTGTTGTGCTTCCCCAGTGGCCCATGGGGGGATGTGGCAGTGTGCTGACAGGCACTCTGTCAGCATCGGACGTCAAGCAGGTGTGTGTGTGTGTGTGTGTCAGACCATGCATGCAAGGGTGCATGGTTGAATGAGCGCGTGTGTGTGTATCTTTAAGGCATCCTCAGTGGCCCATGGGGGGATGCGGCAGTGTGCTGATAGGCACTCTCTCAGCATCGGATGTCGAGCAGGTGTGTTGTCATGCGTGCATGGTGGCATGGTGGCATGATGGCATGATGGCATGGTGGCATGGTGGCATGGTGGCATGATGGCATGGTGGCATGGTGGCATGGTGGCATGGTGGCATGGTGGCATGATGGCATGGTGGCATGGTGGCATGGTGGCATGGTGGCATGGTGGCATGGTGGCGTGGTGGTATGGTCATGTGTGTGTGTGTGAGAGTGTGTTTATCCACCCCAGGTGGCTAACAGCTTTTGCTCTGTTCTCCTCGTTTTGGCAGGTGGATGTTGGTACTCTGCTCTCCCTCACGCCCACCACCACTGTAGCTGATTTCCTCTCCGCCAAACAAAAGGCAGCCGGAAATGCAGCAGCGGAGAAGCAAGCACCTGCTGTAGCAGTGACGCCAGCAGCTGTAGCAGTGACGCCAGCAGCTGTAGCAGTGACGCCAGCAGCTGTAGCAGTGACGCCAGCAGCTGTAGCAGTGACGCCAGCAGCTGTAGCAGTGACGCCGGAAGCTGTAGCAGAAGTGGTGACATGCGCCAGGTGTGTATGTGTGGCAGATGGGAAGGGGAAAGAACGGGTTCTGATCCTATTTATAAGGCACCTCATTCTTGAGACGAATTTTGAGGCGCATCACATAAGGGTGGTCTGACCACCGCCCTTTTAACCGCTCAACCCATCCACACCCCTCTGCACTTCCCCTCTTCCCTGTCCCCCTTTGTCCAGCGCCTCTTCTCTGCGTCATGTGCTTTCCCTGCTAGTCAACCACCGAGTATGGGTGGTCAAACCCCATCCGTCCTGCCTCATACCCTCTCTCGCTCTGGCTCACCTGCTCCCCTCTCCCTTTTCCCCTCTCCCTTTTCCCCTCTCCCTTTTCCCCTCTCCCTTTTCCCCTCTCCCTTTTCCCCTCTCCACACCCCGACACAGTGCCTCTTCTCTGCGCCATGTGCTCTCCCTGCTAGTCTCCCACCATGTGCATCGAGTCTGGGTGGTCAAACCCCCTCCAGTCCACCCCCTCCCTCCTCCTCCTCCCCCTCCCAATAACGAATCACCTTCTAACGAGGCAGCTTCTTACGAGGACACAGCACCCATCACCGAAACTCCACAAGTATCATCTCCCAGCAAGCCCCCCTCAAGTCCAAGTCTGCCCTGTTCCGGGCCTGTGCTTGAAGGCGTTGTGACTATAACAGACGTGCTCCGAACCATGCGAGTGCTCCCGATCCTGCACCCATGGTCCGAGGACAGCGACCCCGTGCTTATAAAGAGGGGAGGCGGAAAAGGAGAATCCGGCAACAGCAGCAGTGGCACTACACGTGGCCGTGCTGGTGACAGCAGCAACAGCCGTGGTAACCGTAACAGCAGCAGTGGCGACGTGGGGTTACCAGGTGCTGACAGCAGGTTTGGGCGCAGTGCGAGCTGTAAGGTGACTGGTGCTAGGCGCTGGAATCCAAACATCTCCCTCTCTATTGATGTGAACACGTGGCTTGGGACCAGCTCTGGTGGACGGGCAAGAGGAGGAACAGCAGCAGCAGCAGGAGGAGGAAGTGGTGGTAGTGATGGTGGTGCTGGCGGCGGCGGCGGCGGCGGTGGTGGTAGTGTTGGTGGTGGGGGGGAAGGGGAGGTTGTGGGCGCAGAAGGTGAAGGAGGGGAGGAGGAGGAGGGTGACGATTGGTCGGTGACATCGATGACAAGTGATGATGATGCTGATGTGGCAGGACCTGCTACCGTAACGGGGACTTCAGGGTCGAGTTTTGACTCGTATTATTGGCTGGACTGGTGGGCTGAGAAGCCGGCCTTAGCATGACACTTATCAAAGGTCAGAATGCTTTGTGCATATTTAATGAACAATATTATTTTTCCACCACTTTATTTTCTGCCTTTGCGATGTAGCATGTTGAATCGTAGTTTTGCGATGACAATACCATTTAGCTTCTTGACGTTGGTGATGTATTACTAGAACTATCATTATACACATTCAAGTCCTAATTTCGAAGGATTATATGTAGGCAGGCTAAAAGATTAGATCAGGACACATTGAGCTTTTGAGGACATCTGAAGAGAGTTGAGGGGAATGCAAGCAGCTCATGTATAGAGCTTCTCTGGACCATCAGTACATTGCGTACACTTCAAGAGAGTTCACGGTCTTCGTTATAGACGATCTGTAACGGAGCAGCCTGTTCAGGATAGTTGGTTTTTTTCCTCACGACGATTCAACTTCCACCCATTTTTGGCTTTATTAGAGCGGAGATGAAACGGCTTGAATATCGCAATTTCCCCTCTGTAGCGTACTACATCTTCTGCTGAAGGGCTTCGGAAGGAGATGAAACGGCCGGTGGAGGAGGTTTCTACAGCTGTGAAATCATGGTTGAACCACAACCACACACCCAGCAACACCTACCTTTAGCCGTTCGATTGTCTAACCAAACCAAGCTCTATGTGGTTAGTAGAATCCGCACCTATTGCAAGCCGTTCGATCCCCCAAACCAGCCTCACCATACCGGCTTCACGTAACTCGCTGTGTCAAACCGAAACAGACGGTGTGTTGTGGGTGGATCCCTGGATATCTCCAGCTATGGAGGAACCCGAGACTCTGAACCCGAGACTTATTTTAGGTGCGACTCTAGAGTATTTTCGAGTTAGTGCCGGTTCGTCTCCCAAACCGTCTTTGCGCCGCAGCCGATGTAGCGCGAGCTGTGCTCTTCGGCGGAACCTCACGCGCGCAAAGAATGCAGCGTGATGATTGCGCTTTACGCCAGTCCTTGCCGCGAATGTGCGGTTATTGGTAGCAAGCAAATCTGCGTCGCGGTTTCATTCGCAGAATCTAGCACGAGTCGCGAAGGAGACAAGCGCGACCAGCGGAGAGTCCGTGAAACAGATTGATTCGGCGATACCGAGGAGGAGTCAAGCAGGCAATCAGACAACAAGAAAGCAGGCAAGCAGCATTGCAGCAGGGACTTACGAACTGCCGCGTCGCGTCGCCACTTGACGAAATACAAGAAAGGTCCCGGGAATCTGGCGAACAAGCGAGCAGCGGTTGCCACGCGTTTCAGCAGGTATCGATAGGGCCGTTTCATCTTCTCACGTGAATCTAAGTTACGAAAAACTCACGCGAAAATCCGATGCCGCGGTTGGGGATTGCGGATTGAACGCCTCGCGGCGCGACTCGATAGGGCCGTTTCATCTCCTCTCAAGAGCCCGCATCGCGCGCTAGTACACGTACGGCTTCTTCGCGTACATTGACATGTAACGCTAGTGGTCGCGCGAGACGAGACGAATGCAACCATTCACTCTGTGCATACCCACTCTCAACTCAACCACCGACGAGTCAACGCTGTGCAGTAGCTTCATAGGCTCCAAACCAGAAAGGATCTACAGTAAGGTTATTCGCTACATCGGCAGCGTTCGCGGCTCGGGAACGCGAGGCTGTCGAGTCGAACCTCCTGGTGCAGCGGCAACAGCAGTGTTGCGACCCGAATCGCGTGAAACAGCTCGTTTCAAACAGCTTCTAGCGGCGCACTCCGCGCGGCGAGGGGCTAAGAGTCGCAGGGGAGGAAAGGGGAGGGAGGAAGGGGAGGGGGGGGGGAAGGGGAGGGGGGGAAAGGTGAAGAGCTGAAGCAGGCGCGTTTACAGGGCACGGCGAGAGACACGGGGAAAGAAGATGTACAGTTACTGGGAGCAGGAGAGGTTAGGAGGAGGAGAGGTTAGGAGGAGGAGAGGTTAGGAGGAGGAGAGGTTACTGATAGGGCACAATAGCGGATGACGGGAAAAGCAACTCGCACCGTCCTCGGAGGGAGAGGTTACTAGGAGAAAAAGAGGTCATAGGGGCAGACCACCGTACAACGGCTGCCATACCGCGTTGCGAGGGGAGCAAGGGGTACTTAATCCTTCCAGCAGCGCGCCATTTCAGGTCGTCGCCGCAGCAGCAGTCGTTTTCAGCAGGAGGCCCGCAGTAACGTCTGTCAGTAAGAGCGTGAGGGTCACGGGAAGCATCACGGGAAGCACTTAGAAGCTATTGCACTTACCTGTTTGGCTGTTCTTAGTCGGAGCTTCACCACAAGGGCCGTTTCAGTTGGCCTTTCCCGTAGGCCATTTCAGAGAAGCGTTCTGTTGAAAAGATCTGAGGGCCTGAGGGTTGTCTGTACGTCCTCAAAGTGCTCTGCTCCGCAACGTGGGGTTTCCCACCCCACCACTAATTTAATCTCCGCGTGCAACGGTCTAGAACGTCATGGCGACTGCCGAATGCCGCCGCAAGTTAATCTCCACCATGCCTCTATCTCCCCTGCTCCTCCTCCTGCTGCTATCCCTCGCTCCCTCCACCTTCCCCGCTGCGTCCGCCGCCACCGCTGCTGCTGGTGCCAATGCTGCCGGTACTGCTGATAGTGGTGCCAGTTCCGCTGGTATCGGCTTCGGGTTTGTCAACGATCTCACCCTTCCCTCCTCCTCCGCGCTGTACGGCGCCCAGGACGGGCGCTCACTCTCAGGCAGCCACGTGGCACGACGCCACAGGTCGCTGCAGGACCAGCCAACGGCCGTCCCACCGCCCAGCACAGGCAAAGACGCTCCCGCCACCAACGGACCTGCCATTAACTCACCTGTCAACTCACCTTCTGTTAACTCACCTTCCATTGGCTTACCGGCCATTCGCTCACCACCATCCGCGCCTGCTCCTCCCGTCCCTGCTAATTCACCCCCTGTTGATCCGGGAACGGACGAAAATGGCAACCCGGTGAAACCGGGGGAGGTGGCGTTTCAGCGGAACGTTCCGCCGTCCCCGCCGCCCCCACCGCCGCCCCCTCCGGTCGTCTCTTTCATGCAAGGCACCTACATCAACTGCGGCAGCAACGAATCGCTCAAGAACCCGCTGTACACCTGGGAGGCGGATCCCTTTTCGGGCAGGTTCGGGAGGATTTTCCGGGCAGGCGTGATCAAGACGACGATGAATCGGACGGTGGCGGCGGGCAGGATGGGGAATGGGAAGGTTGAGTTTAGAGAGACTGGGTTGCTGAAGACGCCCCCAGGGGTGGATGCGCGGGTGTTTGAGACAGTGCGGTTCTTTAATGACCTCGCTCCCAACGTTTCTACTTACACAATTCCGGTGAGTGCTGGCTGGAAGGGTGGCAGGATGGGGTATGGCAGGATGGGAAAGGGGAAGGTGGAGTTTAGCGAGACGGGGGTGCTGAAGACGCCGCCTGGGGTGGATGCGCGGGTGTTTGAGACAGTGCGGTTCTTTAATGACCTCGCCCCCAACGTCTCCACTTACACAATCCTGGTGAGTGCTGGCTGGTTGTCGGTTCGAGGCTGGTCTGGTTGCTGTGGGGTATGATAAGGTGGGGGTGGATGCGAGGGTGTTTGAGACGGTGCAGTTCTTTAATGACCTCGCTCCCAACGTCTCTACTTACACAATCCCGGTGAGTGCCGTGCTGTGCTGACTGGATGCCTGCCTGGGGCTGGTCTGGTTGCTGCACGCACACTCTCTCTGTACTTTGCTGAGATCGTGTGCATGACAGCCAAGCTGTCTTTTGAGGCGCCTCAAAAGACTTTGCTGAGATCGTGTGCACGACAGCCAAGCTGTGCCGCTTTCAAACAACGCTAATGCAAACGCCTCATCCCACCCCCCCCCACCCTCTCTGCACTGCAGGTCCCCGGCCCTCCCACCAACGTGTTTGTCCGCCTGTACTTTGCTGAGATCATCTACACGACAGCCAAGCTGCGGCGCTTCCACGTGGCAGTGGAGGGCGCGCCCGTGCTGACCAACTACAGCGTGCCACGTGGCACTGTGCGAGTGGAGGAGTTCGTTGTGCCCGTTCTGGACGGCTCTGTGGACATTGCGTTCATCCGGGGGGAGATTGGCGAGCCCATGATCAGCGCCATTGCGGTGAGTTCTGCACCGCACAGCACCTCATAGTACCGCACAGCACCGCAGTGCAACTCGCAGAACCGCACAGCAGTTTCTGTGCTGGACGGTTCTGTGGATATTGTGTTCATCGGGGGTGAGATGGTGAGCCCATGATCAGTGCTATTGCGGTAAGTTCTGCACCGCACACCACCACACAGCACCTCAGGGTATCCCACTGTGCGAGTGGAGGAGTTCGTTGTGCCTGTGCTGGACGGTTCCGTGGATATTGCGCTTATCCGGGTAGAGAGTGGCGAGCCCATGATCAGTGCCATAGCTGTGAGTATCGCACACCACAGCCCAGCACTGCACTGCACCGCACACGAGCTTCTGTGCTGGACGGTTCTGTGGACTGGAAATTGCGTTTATTCGGGGGGAGATTGACAAGCCCATGATCAGCGCCATCGCGGTGAGTTCTGCACCGCACTGCATCTCTCAGAATCGCACAGCAGCTACCGTGCTGGACGGCTCTGTGGACATTGTGTTCATCCGGGGAAGATAAGTGAACCCATGATCAGCACCAACCCTCCACGTCTCCACGCAACCCACATATCCCCCCTCTGCCTGCCTCTCTGCCTCCCTCTCTGCCTGCCTCTCTGCCTCCCTCTCTGCCTGCCTCTCTGCCTGCCTCTCTGCCTGCCTCTCTGCCTGCCTCTCTGCCTGCCTCTCTGCCTGCCTCTCTGCCTCCCTCTCTGCCTCCCTCTCTGCCTGCCTCTCTGCCTGCCTCTCTGCCTGCCTCTCTGCCTGCCTCTCTGCCTGCCTCTCTGCCTCCCTCTCTGCCTCCCTCTCTGCCTCCCTCTCTGCCTGCCTCTCTGCCTCCCTCTCTGCCTCCCTCTCTGCCTCCCTCTCTGCCTGCCTCTCTGCCTGCCTCTCTGCCTGCCTCTCTGCCTCCCTCTCTGCCTCCCTCTCTGCCTCCCTCTCTGCCTGCCTCTCTGCCTCCCTCTCTGCCTCCCTCTCTGCCTCCCTCTCTGCCTGCCTCTCTGCCTCCCTCTCTGCCTGCCTCTCTGCCTGCCTCTCTGCCATCCCCTCCCCCTACAGGTGGTCCTGCTCACATCTGCCATGTACAACCTCTCTGCCCCCACTGCCACATCTCACCCATTGGCTGCTCAACTCTACTCATATGTCCCCCTCTACCTCCCTCACTCCTCCCTCTCCCTCCCCTACAGGTGGTGCCACTCACAGCCGGCATGTACAACCTCTCTGCCCCCACTGCCACATCGCGCATCATGGGTACGTCCCTTGCTTGCCTATCTCCCTGGGTGTGATGAGTCGATTTTTTAGTCCGACTCAAAACCCCACTGCCACATCGCGCATCGAATCATGGGTACGTCCGTCGCTTGCCTGTCCCCCTGGTATCTCTGCCTCTTTCCTGAATCCCCGCACCCTCCCCTGCCCCCTTCCAGCCACGGACTATCGCTTCGGCTGCGGTCTCTTCCTCCCGATCACCGACCTCACTCAGAGGATTTGGAATCTGCTACCCTCTGAGGTCTACACGCCCAAGGACCCCGGGTCACGGCGCTACAACAAAACCGAGTCAGCGGCCCTCACGTGGCCGCAGACTGCTGACAACGCCGACAAGCCGCCCTTCATGTTCCCCCTCGACCTCACCACGGTGAGCTTCCCTACACCTTTACCCCTAAGCCCCTGTACGTACTGCTGAGAATGTGTTCGGGAGAGAAGGGAAGGGCGTGGGCTGTGGGCAGCAGTCACAGCGCTACAACAGAACCGAATCAGCCACCCTCACGTGGCCGCAGACTGCTGGCAACGCCGACAACCCGCCCTTCATGTTCCCGCTTGACCTCACCACGGTGAGCCCCTGCTGCTGTGCTGTAAGTTGAGTTCTCTGGCTGCACACGTGACAACAACTTGACCTGTGTGTCTCTGTGTCTCTCCCATCCCTTCCTCTACAGGCGGGTCTTTAGTCGAGTATTCGAGCTATGCGGGCTACAACCACAACACCTTCCTTCTCCCTGTTGTTTCCCCCTGCCATTCCCCCTGCCTTTTTCCCTGCCATTCCCCTTCCTCACCCCAATTCTCCCTTCCAGGCGGGCCTACACTCAGTTGAGCATTCCAGCTATGCGGGCTACAACAACAACGTCTCCCTCTCTATTGTTCCGCCTGCCATTCTTCCTTCCTCAACCCATTTCCTTCCCCCTTCTAGGCGGGTCTACATTCAGTGGAGTATTCGAGCTATGCGAGCTACAACGACAACACCTTCCTCAACTTCTCCCTCAAAACCACTCCCTTGTTTCTCACCGCTGCTCTGCATCCTTCCTTCCCTCTGCGGTCACTCCATCCCTCCACAGGCGGGGTTGCACTCAGTAGAGTATTCCAGCTACGCGGGCTACAACGACAACACCTTCCTCAACTTCTCCCTCCCCGTCGACCCCAACACCGCCTACCGCATCGACCTTGGATTTGAGGAGCTCTGGTACTACTACGTGAGTGCCCTCTCCCCACTTGCTCTCCTTCTCGCACTTCCCCTCTCCCGCTTGCTCCTCCTCTTGCAATTCCTCTCACCTGCTTGTTCTCCCCGCTCTTACTCTCCCCCCGTTGACCCCAACACCGCCTACCGCATCGACCTTGGCTTTGAGGAGCTCTGGTACTACTACGTGAGTGCCTTGTCCCCTCTTGCCTGTTACCACTGCCTTTGAGGCTGTTACCGCTGCCTGCCTGAAAGGACTACACCATACTACGCTCACTGTTTCGTGCTTTTTTCTTCTTCTTCTTCTTCTTCATTTTCACCCACCCCCTTCCTTCCACGTTTTTCACGTTTCTCCGCTGCGCCGTCCATGCACAGACCGCTCGTCTGCTGGACATCTATGTGGACGGCGAGCTGATGATCAAGGAGCTGGATCTTGCACCCATTCTCCCCCCCCCCCCCCCCCCCCCCAACATGCAGACCGCCCGTCTGTTGGACATCTATGTGGACAACGAGCTCATGGTCAAGGAGCTTGATCTGTGGCTTACCTCTTCAATCCACCCCTTTCCCCTCCCCCACACTGGCAGACTGCGCGTCTGTTGGACATCTATGTGGACAGCGAGCTGATGGTCAAGGAGCTTGATCTGGCCACTGTGGCGGGTGTTGGTGTGCCCTTTGTCGTCACACTCAAGGGTCAGTCAGTCAGTTAGTTTGCCTCCTCAGTAGTCAGTCAGTCGGTCAGCCAGTCGGTCAGCCAGTCAGTTGTCAGAGACCAGTCAGTCCCCTATACCTCACTAGACTAAGGAGCTTGATCTGGCCACTGTGGCGGGTGTTGGCGTGCCCTACACCGCCACCCTCAAGGGTCAGTCCTTCTCTACCCTTTTTTTTTTGTTTTTTTGTTTTTTTTTGCTGAATACTTCTGAAAATAGGTTCATGGTTCCAGAAATTTGCCCCTGAACATTTTCCTCTGACTTCCCCCCCCCCCCCCCCTCCCCTCCCCTCTCCCCACTCTCCTTGCCCACCCCCGGCCTCCTCTTCTCTTCCTCTCTCCTGCCCACTCGTTCCCCCTTCCGTATCAACAGCTGTCTCGGGTCCTTCAGGCTTCATGAACATTTTTCTTCAACACCTCCACCAACTCAATGCTCTCCCACTCCTCGTTCCCCCTCCCTTCTCCCCTTCCCCATCTCACTCTACCAGCTGTCTCGGGTCCTTCAGGCTTCATGAACATTTTTCTCAACACCTCCACCAACTCCCTTCACAAGTGAGAGCCTCGAGATCCTGCCGCCTCTTTTCACACGCTGCCAGTAATCCTCTATTTTGTTGAAATCACTTCTGAGGATTCTCATCGACCCCCGCCCCGCCCTCCCCCTTGACTTCTGAGTCGACTCGCTGCCAATAATCACCTCTCTTCCAGCAGCAACGTGTTTCGTCAGCACACTTGGGCTCTTCCGAGTCATTCCCACCGACCCAACTCAAATCCCCCTCCCTACCTACCAACCCCACCCTCGCCCTCCCCCTTCATCCAACAGCAACGTGTTCATAAGCACGCTAGAGCTTTTCCGAGTGATCCCCATCGACCCCACCAACCAGGCTGCTCTCCTCTCTGCCGCCAAGCCTCTCCCTCCGCCCGCTCCCTTCGCTGCTGCTGACACCACCGCCGCTTCTGCCTCATCCCAGTCCTCCTCTGCTGTAAGTCTCTCATTAGGGATTTCCACTGTATCCTCTCACTCCCTCTAGCACTCCTCTCTGCTGCCAAGCCGCTCCCTCCGCCCGCTCCCTTCGCTGCTGCTGACACCACCGCCGCTCCTGCCTCATCCTAGTCCTCCTCTGCTGTAAGTTTTACCTGCTTCTTCCCTGTCCTTCTGCTCTAAGAATTTATTCTTTCGGTTTCTGTAGTTCCCCTTGCTGCTGCTGCTCGCCCCGCTCCCTCCTCCCGCTCCCTTCGCTGCTGCTGACACCACCTCTCCTCGCACCTCCTCTTCATCCTCCTCTGTTTGTTTGTTTGTTTGTTTCCCTCCTCCAATCACTGCCGTCGTCCACTTTCTTGTCCTTCCCACCTTCTCCCCCCCTCCTCTCCCCACTTTCTCGCCTCTTCTCCTCCTCACAATCACACCATCTGGCACCTTCTCCTCTCCCACAGGCGTTTGGCATAGGCATAGTGGTGGGCATGGGGATCATTCTCCTCCTCCACTCCCACAGGCGTTTGGCATAGGCATAGTGGTGGGCATGGGGATCATTCTCCTCCTCCACTCCCACAGGCGTTTGGCATAGGCATAGTGGTGGGCATGGGGATCATTCTCCTCCTCCACTCCCACAGGCGTTTGGCATAGGCATAGTGGTGGGCATGGGGATCATTCTCCTCCTCCACTCCCACAGGCGTTTGGCATAGGCATAGTGGTGGGCATGGGGATCATTCTCCTCCTCCACTCCCACAGGCGTTTGGCATAGGCATAGTGGTGGGCATGGGGATCATTCTCCTCCTCCACTCCACAGGCGTTTGGCATAGGCATAGTGGTAGGCATGGGGATCATTCTCCTCCTCCACTCCCACAGGCGTTTGGCATAGGCATAGTGGTGGGCATGGGGATCATTCTCCTCCTCCTCCTCGCCTCTTGAGCCAACTCTAAACACACCACCATCCTCCCCCTCCCTCCTCTCCCCTCCTCCCCTCCCACAGGCGCTAGGCATAGGCATAGCGGTGGGCATGGGGATCATTCTCCTCCTCCTCGCCTCGCTCGCCACCTGCATCGTTCTCAGAGCTCACTACCGCAACAGGCAGGGACGCATTGCAGCAGCGGCCGCAGCAGCAGCAGAAGCAGAGGCAGGCTACTACGACGGCACTTCTTCAGCCAAGTCCAAGAGCGGCTCTGGTGGTGCTGCTGGCGGTGGCGGTGCTTTCTCCGACAGTGGAATCCTGGCTCTCATCTCGGGCAAATTCGGCTCCTCTGCAGAAGGTCAGTCAGTGCAGCATTCTGTAGGCCTTTTTTTTATTTTATTTTTTCCCCGAAGTGCCAAAACCTGTCTATTTGGAGCGCGCATATTCACCCTCGCTGAGCTGTAAATCCCAACCAACTGACTGACTGACCCCCTCCTTCCCCCTTCCCATTTCTCGCCCCATCACACCAGATGACAAGCACAAGGCGTTCAAGAATCTCGACGCCGAAGCCACGGCCAAGACTGGTCTCTTAGGAGCGCGCATATTCACCCTCGCTGACCTCCACACCCTCACCCGTGGTTGTCCTCCCTCCCCCTCCCCTTTCTCTCGATGTTAAGCAGACGACAAGCACAAGACGTTCAAGAACCTTCTATTGAAGCCACAGCCAAGACCAGCCTCTTTGGAGCGTGCATCTTCACCCTCGCTGAGCTCCGCCGAGCCACCGACGATTCTTGACCCGACCCCCGGAGCCTCAAGCACCCTCTTTCCTTGCTTTGCCCATCCCCTTTCCCCCCCACTTCCTGCTCTCCTCCTCCACTTCCCCACCCAAAACACCAGACGAAACCACGGCCGAGACCGGTCTCTTTGGAGTGTGCATCTTCACCCTCGCGTAGCTGAGCTCCGCCGAGCCACCCCTGTCCTTGAGCCATAAACCGTCCCTTGCAAGCATCCCCTTTCTCTTGCTCTCTCCTCCCCTTTTCCGTCGTTCTCCCCCTCCCCCACCCCCTACCCCCACTACACCAGACGACAAGCACAAGGCATTCAAGAACCTGGACGCCGAAGCCACGGCCAAGACCGGCCTCTTTGGAGCGCGCATCTTCTCCCTCGCTGAGCTCCGCCGAGCCACCGACGATTTCGCCCCGGGGAACCTCATCGGGCAGGGCGGGTTCGGCAAGGTCTACCGAGCCACGCTCGGAGGCTCGGCACGCGACGACAGCGACACCGAAGGCTCGGCGCCCGCCGTGCCCGGGTTCGAGGTCGCGGTGAAGAGGCTCGGGTCGGGGTCGCAGCAGGGGGCTTCGGAATTTCTGACTGAAGTACAGCTGCTGAGCCGGCTGCATCATAAGAACCTGGTGAACCTGATTGGGTACTGCGATGAGGACCCCAACCAGCTGATCCTGGTGTATGAGTATGCTCCCAATGGGACACTCAAGGACTATCTCAGAGGTGCGTTTGTGTGTGGTCGGATGCTGTCTCATTTCTGCGCTTGTGATCTGAGTAGAGGGGTCCGGGTCGCAGCAGGGGGCTTTTGATTTTCTGACTGAAGTATAGCTGCTGAGCCGGCTGCATCATAATAAGAACCTGGTGAACCTGATTGGGTACTGCGCTGATGACCCGAATCATCTCATTCTGGTGTATGAGTATGCTCCCAACGGCACCCTCAACGACTACCTCAGAGGTGCGTGTGTGGTGAGGTTTCCTCTTTACCCCCTGGGGCACCCTCACTGAGGTGCAGCTGCTGAGCTGGCTGCATCATGGGACTCACAAGGACTACCTCCGAGGTACATGCGTGGTGGTGGTGCTGCTGCTGCTCTCTTAGTTGTGTGCACTGTGAGTTGACTGAGGGTTCCTTCAACCTGATAGGGTACTCCGATGAGGACCCCAACCAGCTCATTCTGGTGTATGAGTATGCTCCTAATGGGACTCTTAAGGACTGCCTCCGAGATACGTGCTGTGCTCGTCGTGGTGGTATTGCTGCTCTCTCGGTCCTGTGCACTGTAATTTCTGGGTCCTCCAGTCCAAACCTGATAGGGTACTGCAATGAATATGCTCCTAATGGGACTACCTCCGAGGTATGTTGTCTCATCCCTGTTGACTCTTAAGGGTTCCTTCAGACCTGATAGGGTACTTATCCCGTACTTCTGTCTACCCCCATTCTTCCCAAACACACACCTACAGACGTGGTGCGCGTGAAATCGCTCTCCTGGGAGCGTCGGCTGCGCATCGCCACCACGTCCGCCAAGGGCATTGAGTACCTTCACAACGGCGCCTCTCCTTCGGTTATCCACCGGTGAGTGGTAGCATCCGGATGTGTCGCATGCGCTCGCATAGCGTCCGCCAAGGGCATTGAGTACCTTCACAACGGCGCCTCTCCTTCGGTCATCCACCGGTGAGTGGTGGCATCTGATTGCGTCGCACGCGCTCGCATCACGTCCGCCAAGGGCATTGAGTACCTTCACAACAGCGCCTCTCCCTCAGTCATCCACCGGTGAGCTTACTTGCTGTGTCCTTGCTCCACCCCTATCCCACCGATATTTACCCATCTCAACCCATCTCAACCCCTCTGCACCCCTCGCAGTGACATCAAGACGTCCAACATTTTGCTCGACTATGCCTTCAACGCCAAGGTCGCTGACTTTGGTCTCTCCAAGCTCGGCAAGAAGGCCCCTGCCACCATCGGCATGGGCGTGGAGGAGAAATCAGATATGAGCCACATCAGCACGCGCGTCAAGGGCACTCTCGGTGAGTCTAGCTTGGGCAGTAATATTGTCTCTCCAAGCTCGGCAAGGAAACCCCTGCCACCATCGGCATGGGCGTGGAGGAGAAATCAGATATGAGCCACATCAGCACGCGCGTCAAGGGCACTCTCGGTGAGTCTAGCTTGGGCAGTAATATTGTCTCTCCAAGCTCGGCAAGGAAACCCCTGCCCCCATCGGCATGGGCGTGGAGGAGAAATCAGATATGAGCCACATCAGCACGTGCGTCAAGGGCACTCTCAGTGGGTTTCTTTCTTAAATTTTTTTTTTGAGGGTTTAGGGCTGGAATCTATGTACTAGAAAAAGCAAATCCTCAGCCAACTCCACCCACCCCCCCACCAGGCTACCTGGACCTCATGTACTACACAAAGCAGCACCTCACGGACAAGAGCGACGTGTTCAGCTTGCCCATCCCAGCACCTCCCTGCACCGCTCTAAATCCCTCCTTTATCTCTCTCCCTTCCCCCACACCAGGCTACCTGGACCCCATGTGCTACACGAAGCAGCACCTGACAGACAAGAGAGATGTGTTCAGCTTCGGGGTGGTGCTGCTGGAGCTGCTGCCCATCCCTGCACTGCTCTTCTTCACTGCTTCTTCTCTCTCTTCACCTGTTTCTCCCCCACACCCCACCAGGCTACCTGGACCCCATGTACTACACGAAGCAGCACCTCACGGACAAGAGCGACGTGTTCAGCTTCGGAGTTGTGCTGCTGGAGCTGCTCACAGGCCGCCTGCCCATCTGGCAGGAAGACGATGCTTCTGGGCTTCAGAACGGGGGCGAGTCACTGATTAACCTGGTTGAATGGGTGAGTTGATATGGGCTAGGATTGGCCGGTTGTAGCTGCTGGAGCTGCTCACAGGCCGCCTGCCCATCTGGCAGGAGGACGATGCGTCGGGGCTGCAGAACGGTGGAGAGAGCTTGATCAGCCTGGTGGAATGGGTGAGTGGCAAGAGCACGGCAAGTGCGCAAGGGGTGAGTGCGTGGCTGAGCCTGTAGGGGACTGGGTGCTGCTGGAGCTGCTCACAGGCCGCCTGCCCATCTGGCAGGAGGACGACGCTTCCGGGCTGCAGAACGGGGGCGAAAGCCTGATCAACCTGGTCGAATGGGTGAGTTCTCTCCCTCCGGTAGTGCGTGAATGGGTATGGGCGAGTGGTGCAGCGGCTCAGGAGGAGTGGTGCTGCTGGAGCTGCTCACAGGCCGCCTGCCCATCAACCGGCAGGAGGTTGTCCATGCTGCTGCAGAATGGATGAAAAAGCCTCATCAACCTGGTAGAGCCGTTACCTTCCTTTTCCCCCCCTTTTCCACCTACCTCTACCTCGCCTCAACTACCCCTTCAGAGGAGTTCAAATTCAACTACCCCTTTTCCCTTTTCGATGATTTTCTACTCATTGATTCGATGATTCGCCTCATTGTGACTCCCACACTCGACGTGGACCGGCCATGCAGAGCCTCGTGAAGGATGCTGACCTCGCCTACCACTGCGTGCGCACTCCCCCTCATTTCCCCCTTCAACCCCCCCTCCCCCACCCCGCTACCTCCTTCCCTCCTTCAGACGGAGCCGTTTCTCAAGTCAGGTCAGATTCGTCCTATCGTAGCGCCGACTCTCGATGTGGACCGGCACATGCAGAGCCTCATGAAGGTGGCTGACCTCGCCTACCGCTGCGTGCGCACTCAGCCCAAGAGCCGGCCCGCCATGGCTGAGGTGGTCCGCGTTCTAGCAGAGGCCAAGGCCCTTCTCGACGCCGAGGGCCCCACTCCCTCCTCCTCTGCTCTCCCCCTCCCCACCCCCTCTGCTGCTGCTGCTGCTGCCGCCTCGATTTCTGGTGGTGCTGGTTCTGCTGGTGGTTCTGCTGCTGGTGCAGGGAATTCTCTGCTTGAGTCGTCCCTGAAGGTGGGGGATGGGGAGTCGGCGTTGCTGATGGATGAGGCTGGAGATGCTTTCGTGCCCCATGCTTCTGTCTCTGCTGCTGCTGCGGCTGTGGTGGGATCAGGTGGTGCGGGGGATTACACGAATCCGTTCTCAATCAGCGTTATTTCGGAGTGACTGGAGCTGACTGAATGGAGGATGAGCAGCAGATGGATGGAGACAGAGAGATGTTAACCTAAATTGAAAAAATGTTGTGATTGTGTGTTCATAAAAGCTGCAATGGTTAATGAGGTTGGATGGAGTGAAGGATTGTTGGCAATTAGGGAGAGATGCAGCTGGTGGAATGTGTGTGTGTGTGTGTGTGTTTTTTTTATATATATATAATGAAATCGATTTTTTTCGTTGTCGTCATTAACAGCAACAAGAGTATTTTTTTTTTGAAAACTGCCAACATGGACATTTTCCCATGAAGTGTTTTATGTTGTGTAAGAAGTAACAACGTAGATTGGCGATTTTGCACTTTTTTTACACGAGGAGGCTGCTGCATTATTGCCTTGCAGAATATTATTGCAACGTGACGAAATTATTGCTCATTGGGCAACGCCGCCAGACACGGCGCTTGCACGCACAACACATCGAAATTACTGTACTGACGAAGCGACGGGATGGGATAACATGCCGCAGGCGAAGTTACGGAGGTGCTTTAGGCGAAGTGACGAATGATGAAGTGACGAAGACGCTCAGGCCAAGTTACACGTGCATTATTGTACACTTCAACTCGAATCGCGATGGTCTTGACAGCCCCACAGACAGCTCAATCTCTCCTGAAGGAGCCAATTTCGGATTCCACTGGAAGTAACTAGACTCGAAAGCACACAACACGCCACCCAAGCAGAAGAGCAGCACGTGCTTGGCAAGTGAAACTATTATCAGGCACCCCCAGTGAGGGCGACTTATCAATCCGGCGACTTAGCTTGCTCGTCCTATAAGCTTGCGCCAGAAGGTCCGGATTCGCGCCATCATTCGTTGATAGTTACGCTGTCCGTACCTGTTGTTTTTTTAAAACGAAACCGGTCATCTTCATCGTTCGCAATGGCGGGAATTCCTCATGACTTCACCGCGTCGGACCTGCATCATCTCCTCTTTGAGCGCATTCTCGGCGAAGAAGGCGACGGCGGCGGAGGTGGTGAGAAGAAGACAAGCGGCATGTATAACTACATGGTTTACTCGCCGAGCTACTACATCGCTACAGTGACCGCCTTGATTGTCATCGTTTCACTGCTCTTCGAAAAATTCATCCACGTCATCCACCACGTAAGCTTCCTGAACTTCAACACGGGTTTGTCCTTCTTTCTTTCTTTACTTGGATTTTCTAATTCAAGAAAAAGAAGCAGGCTGTAATGCGTCACGCACATTTGTCTAATGTGCGCAGTGGTTTGGTCACAGGAAGAATAAGGCTCTCGTGCACGTGGTCGACCGCATCAAAGACGGTGAGAACTGATAATAATGTATTTTGAGGCTCCTAAAAACGCTTCAATTATGATCGCAACTGACACCTGTCCACATTCTCCTCTTTCTCCTCCTCTTATCCTATTGACAGAACTTATGGTCGCCGGGTTCCTCTCCATCGTTCTCGCGTTAATCAATCCGCTCCTCGCTGGGTGGTGCGTCCCGGTCGCGAGAGACACCATTCTTATTCCGTGCAAACCGCCGGAGATGCCTTACTACTCGCCACCGCCCGTACCTGCTAACTCAACTGCAAACTACACGGAAAAGGGTTTCTCAAAAGTTCAACCAAATCATAGTGGGGTTACTCCGGATAGCGGAAATGGCACGACATTCTCGACGGTCGTCAATACCGAGCAGTTCGCGAACGGAACTGGGATCGAGATTCGCGAGACTACGATCACGTTTCGTAACGGGACGAAGATGAAAACGACGACGAGAAACGTGTTTGTCGGCAACGGAACGGGAGCTGTTACGAACAACACTAGTCTGACAACACCAGATGAAAGTACAGACTCACCAATACATGGAGATGGAGGAGAGTTGTTTCCGCATTTTGATTCTTCAAACAATACCAACAACGGCCACGAAAGAGGCCTTTTGGGGACCACATCACACAAAAACAGTGATGTTTCTTCCAGTGGCATAGAGAACCAAATTCGTCGGTTGATCCTGGATTGGGAACGACAAAAAGACCGGGAGCAGCACAAGCGGCTTCTTTTGGAAGGAGACGGCGGTTGGGAGCATGGCAGCCGGTTCAGCCACCATGTGCGAAGGAAGCTGGCGAGTTTCCCAAACGAATGTCCATCTGTGAGTGTCAATACATGCCATTTCCACCTCCTCTGACTGTAGTACCCTTTAGTTGCTATGTTTTTTCCCTTTCATTTTTTGTTGTTTTATTATATCCTTGCATCAATTTTTTGTTCTTGCCTGTATCGAATCACTCTGTACGTGGTTTCAGGGCCAGGAGCCGTTGATGTCGCCTTCAGCCATCCACCAATTGCATCTCTTCATCTTCTTCCTCGTTGCCGGTCACATCGTCTACACCTGCATCACCATTGTCATCGCCCGTGCCAAGGTAAACTCCTTGCACTTTCACCCTTCTATACACTTTCAATAGATTAAGTAATAGCATCGTCTACACCTGCATCACCATTGTCATCGCCCGTGCCAAGGTAAACTCCCCTCAACATACCTGTTTACCCACAAAAAAATCAACTTCACATTCCTTCCAGCCCTGTGGTCGCATCGCCTACACCTGCAACACCATTGTCACCGCCCATGCCTAAGTAAACTCCTCTCACTCTCACCCTTCGTCTATATACACTTCCAATATAGGTCAATAAAAATATATATTGAAAAAGGCCTACGAATGATAGCACCTCCGCTTCAGGTATCCACGTGGCACAGGTGGGAGAACACGTGTCAAGAGAAGATGAGGCAAAGAGTAATCGAACCTTTCTACGTCTATTCCGCCTTAACGGTTAAATTCCCCTTTCCCGATGCCCCCTTCTCTCCCCACCCACCCACCCCGTCCCAGGTGTCCACGTGGCACAGGTGGGAGAACAAGTGTCAAGAGAAGATGAAGCAAAGGAAGGGCGCGGTATCAGGTACGTGTTTAGGGGTGTGGTATCAGGTATGTTTCAGGGGTGTGGTATCAGGTATGTTTCAGGGGTGTGGTATCAGGTATGTTTCAGGGGTGTGGTATCAGGTATGTTTCAGGGGTGTGGTATCAGGTATGTGTTCAGGGGGTGTGGTATCAGGGAATTGCCAGTCCCAGACTTTTCATTGAAATCATAGAAGCTTTTCTCTTGATACTCATGCCTTTCTCTCTCTGCGTTGTTCTCCCCCCTTCCTCTCTGTGCATCACTCACAGGTCAGCTCACCCGCGCCCTGCAAGACCGTAGCTTCATTCTCCGCCGCACAGGGCCCCTTGCCAGCTTTCGCCGCCGCGTGGCACCTGACGTGGCAAATGCCGGTTCCAGCTCAGCAGGTGCCGGATATGACGTGGAGCAGCCCCCTTCCGGCGTGGGGCAGGAGCCAGAGCTGGCGAGAACCTTCCAGGAAGTTGTCAAGGAGGGGGAAGAGGCGAAAGCTCAGGGGAGTCAGGAGCAGCAGGTTCGGGAGCAGGCTCGGGCACAGGAGGCTCAGGAGCCTGCTCGGCGAGGCTCGAAGTTGCAAGTTCACTATAGCGATGAGGATGACGTGGCAGAGGAGGAAGAGCCGGAGCATTTCACGTGGATAGGGGAGGAGGAGGAGGAGGGGGATGACCTGGATACGGTATATGAGGACGAGGAGGAGAGAGAGGAGGAGGAGAAGGAGGAGAAGGAATGGAGGAGGCAGAAGGGGATGAAGGAGGGAGGGGCAGGGGAGAAGGGGAAGAAGCGGCTGACTCGGCTGGCAACGATGGCGAGGAGAGAAGCGAGCACTGAGCTGACCGTGTGGCAGTCGCTGGTGCTCACTGTGGTGAGTTGGGGTTGGGGATTGTCAAGGGGTTGAGGCGAGGTGGGCAGAAAGCAATAAGTTAGGCTCTCAACCTTGCCGTCCTTCTTCTCCCCTCTCCCTTTCGCATACGCCCTTCCCCGTTCTCCTCTCTCCCAATGCTCTGGCTCCCTCTCATGCACCCGTGTCCTGCCCCAACCCACCCCATGCTGACTGAACCCCACAGCAATGCTTTTCCCAGCAACTGTTCAACCCGATCACCCGGTCTGACTACTACACTCTCCGGCTTGCATTCATTCATGTAAGTAATATTATGATTATGAACTATTATTATATTGCTGTTACTAATACTATTATCACTACTATTGTTATTGTTATCATCTTTGGTTTGTTTTTTCCTACTTCCTTTAGAGTGCACACAGTTAAGTGTACCTCGGCTGGCTGTGTGATCCGATCAAGCACTGATGCTGTTCCTCCCTTGGTGACTTCCTTTCTACAATATCAGAATCAGATTCAAGCAAGCACCATTCGCCCACTCCCTTTGCCTTCCTCCCAGTCTTTCAGACTCAGGACCTTCCTCAAGACTTCGATTTCTGTCACCATGTGGTTAGCACCACTCGCCCACTCCCTTCCCCTCCTCCCTTCCCCTCCTCCCTTCCCTCCTCCCCATCTTTCAGAATCAGGACCTTCCTCGAGACTTCGATTTCTATCACCACGTGGTTGGCTCCCTGGAGAAGGACTTTGTCCACATCGTCGGCCTCAGGTGAAAGCTCAGGTGTTTCCAACAGATGATTGGTTGATGACCTAGAAAACGACTTCGTCCACATCGTTAACCTCAGGTGCTTTTTTTCATGTGCGTGGCCGATAGGCTCAGTCGTACTTTTACAGAATGCTACTCAGGTAACGACTTTGGATTTTCAACATAGTGTTTCTGTTTCGTTTCTGGTTTTTCCTCATCCATAAGCCCCTCCCCCTCCCTTCCCCCATATCTCCTCCCAACTCTTTCCAACCCCTCCCCCAACCCCTTCCCTCTGCCTACCCAGCTTGCCTCTCTGGATCACTCTCGTTATTGTCATTTGCATCACAAGCTACAGTAAGTCACTCTTATCTACTGTAATGACAGTCAGTTTCCTGTTTTTGTTAGATACTGCTTCTTTCGCTATCGTCGCTGATGCTCTGTCAAGCATCTCTCGAAATTTACATGTATATATGTATATATCTCTCTAAAAATAGTATATGTGTGTATATATTTACATCTATGAAATATGTATGCATGTAAGTCCCTCTACTTCTTTCTTTGCGCTTAATCACCCCGCCTCACCCCTCGTCACGCTTACCCTCTCCCCCTTCCACAGAGTGGGACATCTCATTCATCTTTTCCGTTCTCGGCCTCCTGGTGAGCACATTCTCGTTGTAGAATTGTAACGCATGCTCGTCCAAGCACATAGTATTTTTTTTTACCACTCGTTAGATACACAGAAACAAAAGCATTGATATCCATCTAAATAGCATGCACATGCCTGTGCAGAGCCTGTGTAACATCAATCTATGTAGCATGCTTTGACGCATTTGTTATGAACCTACATATTTAAGTATGCGTTTGTTTACTGTACATGTATACACAGATCGTGCTGGCAGTGGGAACGAAGCTGGAGTACATCGTATCGCTGCTGGCTCTAGAGAGTGCGCATGTGACTGGAGACTGCGAGGGCGACCACTTAAAGCCCCGAGGCTCGCTCTTCTGGTTCAAGCGACCCTCCTTCATGCTGTCTTTGCTGCACTTCGCTCTCTTCATTGTAAGCAACTCTCTGAGTTCCTGAGTTTCAGCCACTCTCTGTTGTAAGCGAGAGGGTTAGAAATAGGAGTTACCCTCCTGCTTTGTAGAGAGAGAGAGAATGAGTGAGTGAGTGAGAGAGAGAGAGAAAGAGAGAGAGTGAGTGTGTGTGTGTGTGTTTTGGAATGTGTGAGTTCTAGTGACCAACCTTCAAAGTACACCCGCTGCACTATGCACTATTTGATGCTCTGTAGATTCTGTCAGATTCCTTTTTGTATGATGAGCCGTTTCTGCCATAAATAAAACAACAGGGTGTTGTGCAATTAAACAACTGGCTAGAAATTTATCTCCTTCACAAGTTGGCTCTTTATTCTCCTCTTTTCCACCCGACTGTGCCTGTTTTTTCTGCAGAGCTCGTACATGGTCGGCAACCTAGTCGTCTACTATGTAAGTACCACCCCAAGTACCACCCCAACGGCCACAAGGAATAAGTGTGGTGTTTCCAGCGCTTGTCTCATCATTTCCAAAAAAAAAGGGTTTCCAAGGTAGTACTGATCCAGTCGCAGTTCAAGACCTACTCTGCCTGGGTGCCATGGCTCATTCATATTTTAAATACCAAGCACTTCACAAATCCCTTACCTTCAACTGCTGTTCCCGGTCTTCTTCCCTCCCCTGCCCACACCAGTAGCTAGCACTGAACCAGTCGCAGTGCAATACCTGCTCTGTCTGTGTGCCATGGCTCGAGTGTATAATCTTGATCAGAAGTTTCTTACTCCACAACTCCCGTTCTCGCTCCCTTCCTTGTCCATCCCTCCGCTGCCCAAACCAGTATCTAGCGCTGAACCAGGAGCAGTGCGGTTCTCACTCCCCTTCCCTTCCCTTCCCTTCCCTTCCCTTCCCTTCCCTTCCCTTCCCTTCCTTTTCCTGATCCGCCCTGCCCTCCCCTGCCCAAACCAGTATCTAGTGCTGAACCAATCACAGTGCAAGAGCTACTCCGCCTGGGTGCCGTGGCTTAAGTTTATAATTGGCATCGCCACTGTACTCATCTGCAGCCTCAGCACGCTGCCGCTATACGCCCTCCTAACCCACGTGAGTATGAGGTTTCAATGCATGTACACTTGAAAAGAGCCTGTTATTAGGATTGCCACCCTGCTCATCTGCAGCCTCAGCACGCTGCCGCTATGTGCCCTCCTAACCCACGTGAGTATGAGGTTTCAAGACATGTACACTTGAAACGAGTCTGTCCTTGGGATTGCCACCCTGCCCATCTGCAGCCTCAGCATGCTGCCACTATACGCCCTCCTAACTCACATGAACTTGCAGTTTTTTAGGCGCCTGCCTACATCTTTTGCTCAAGTCGCAAGTCCATCCTCCGCATTGGCTTGTAATCTTCGCTGCTGCAGCCTCAGTCGGCACGCTGCTGCTTAGATGTCACTGATAAGTGTACCCGCCCCGCCCACCCGCATTCTCATCTCAATCTGTTTGTTTGTGTTGTGCAGATGGGAGGCAAACCCAGCCACTCGGACGAAGGACGCAAGCAAGGGAAAATAGGGGCTGTTTTCACAGAGCAGATGAAAAAGATACAGGAACACAGATCCAAGGATGACATACGAGCATAGAGTGCTATTACGGTACCTTCAACGTACCTTGAACGTAGAAAATCGTTTTCTACATACCGTAATAAGCAGCACCCCCCGTAGGTTGTTTCTTTGCAAATTCCCAAAATAAATGGGGGGGCTTTAGATGTGTTGGTTCACTCCACCTGGTGAACCTGCTAGCTTCACATACAATCTCTAATGCCATTTCATGACAATTAGGAATGGTTTGATTTAGATGTGTTGGTTCATTCTGTTGGGCTGAGATAGCCCCTTAGGATCTTTGCAAGGGATAACTCTAGGTGAAGTAGTTGTAACAGCGGAAGCGTTTAGTGAAGAATTTGAACCGACCTTGCACTGGTGTGTGAGAGCAAAGTTGATTGAATTAAACAAGCAAATACAAGGATTTATATAAGAGTACAGGGAATAGATAACTGTATTGCTGTTGCGGTTCGATATAGCGCGACTCGGGCAACTGCTCTGTAACGAGTCAGTTGTGTGTCCTTAACTGTCGCGCTGTAATTGTCGAGTCAAAGGTCAGCGACCTTTGACTTTCTCGTAACCTCCAGGCGGTTACCCTAACCTCCGAGGTTGACTCGATGCTTCGATTGGGACTGCTTCGCTTGGTACCTTGGATTTTGATACGACAGAAGCGCACTTAGGACTTATTGTTTCCAACACTCCCCTTCGCTTCTGGAGTGTTACTGCTGGTGACGTGGCCTTGTCCAGTCAGCATCATGCAGTATTCGAACTTCTGCTTGCCGAGTTTCTTGGTCAAGTAATCGGCTGCCATCTCGGATGTTGGACAGTATGACAGATCGAGTTTCCCTTTTTCTATCTCGTCCTTCACGAAGAAATAGCGCAGGGCGATGTGTTTCGTCCTGTTTGCGAAGCCGTTTTTGTTGGCGATGCGAATCGCTGACTGGTTGTCGCAGAACACGGTGAAGCTGGGTAACTCGGCTAGCTTCGCTTCTTCCAGTAGTTCGCGAAGGTAAAGTCCCTCCTTGGTGGCTGAGCAGAGTGCAATATATTCTGCTTCTGCTGAAGATAGTGCGATTAACTCCTGCTTGCTCGACTGCCAGGAGATAGGACCGATAGGCTCAAGGCGGTAGACATAGCCGGTGCGTGAGCGCCTGTTGTCGGTGTCGCCGGCGTGATCGGCGTCGACGTAGCCGATTAGCTTAGTCGGTGTAGCTGCGCTCTTGTGGTAGGTTAGCCCGATCGTCGCGGTGCTGACGAAGTAGTGGAGAGCGTGATCAAGTTCCGCCAGGTGTTCAGCTTCAGGCTTCTTGAGATAGGTGGCGAGCTGACTTGCGGAGTAGGATAAGTCAGGACGGCAGGTGACGGCGGCGAATAGCAGGCATCCGAGCTTCTTCTGATAGTCGCGTATGCCGGCGGGCTTGAGTAGAGTAGTTCGTTCCTTCTCGGTTCCTGATGTGTAGCGGTAGGGCGTGGAGATGGCGCTTGGTGTGAGGCTGAAACGTTTCGCGATGGTGTCGGCGTATTTCTCGGCGCTTAGATAGATGGCGTTTTCTTCTTCGCGGATGTTGAGCCCGAGGTACTGTGTAACGGTGGAGGAGACCGTGAGCGTGAGGTCTTTCTGGAGCTCTCCTTCGAACCACGTGGCGATGCCGTCGGTTGACCCAATGTAGAGGAGATCGTCCACGTAGACGATCAGGAGAACGTAGTCGCTTCCCTTAGTGAGGCGGTACATGCCTTGGTCGTGAGGTAGTTGACTAAAGCCGATGCGGATGAGACGGGCGTGCAGGTACTGCTGCCACAGTCGCGGTGCCTGCTTGATCCCGTAGAGCGACTTAAGTAGTTGACAGATTCGGTTGGGTTCGCCGTGGGAACCGTGCGGGAGCTCGACGTAGATTTCTGCATCCACAGGTGCGTAGAGGAAGGCATTCGCGACGTCGATCTGCCGTAACTTCTTCTTCTTCATGGCGGCAATGGCGAGGAGAATTCGGAGTGACGTGTGGCGGCTGACTGGAGCAAAGGTCTCGGTGAAGTCTCGTCCTTGCTCTTGGTCGAATCCACGTACGACCCAGCGTGCTTTGAATTTTTCGATCGTGCCGTCTGCTTTCGTCTTGATGCGGAAGACCCATTTCCCGGTAAGGATGGTTTTGTTCCGTGCCACGCTTACGGGAACAACCTTCCAAGTGTTGCGTTCCTCTAATGCCTTCAGTTCTCTATCCATGGCTTCACGCCATTTCTCCCTGTGTTCCCCCCCCAGAGCCTGCTGACCGTTGCAGGCTCCTTAGGAAGCGAGCTGCGTGTGTTCCCGTGGACTGCGGTGACGAGGCCGAGGATTTGCAGCCCAGTCTGTGAGTATCGAGGGAGTTCTGGATCCTCGGGATAAGCTGCTTCGTCTCCCGTTTCTGGGTCGGGCATGAAATTTGGCCCTACCCTTTCTGCTTCGTTGGTGTTGACTGTCACAGGTGTTACGTAACCATCGTCGGCGAAACGGTAGAAGATTTCGGCGTTGTTACTGTCGCGAGGATTATCCTCATCCATGGGCACGTCGACGGAGCAGTATGGGAGAGGTCCGGCTTCTTCTGAGGCGTTGTCGACGTTCTGTTCATCCCAGTCTGCTTCGTCCGCTGCTGACGCGAAGGCTCGGTCACCACGAAAACCACTGGTGAGGTCCCGATTCTCGTGCAAGTTGGCGAGGTACGTCTGAAGGGTGAGTCTTTCGTAGAAGATCACGTCACGTGCTGCTACTGTTTCCTTTGTGTGGACGTCGAAGATTTTCCATGCGTTGTAATTTTTCTCGGTGCCGAGGTGTAGTCCCCACTGTGCCCGTTGCGAAAATCTTCCCGCTCGTGCTTCTGGGGGTCTGTACTGTACCATGCACCCGAAAACTCGTAACATTTTCGTGCTGCCCTGCTTCCCTGTCCACAGCAGATGCGGTGATGCGTTGTTCGGGAGTGACGACGACGACAACAAGTTGTGTAGCATGACAGCGTGGTCCATTGCTGCTGGCCACTGGTGGTTGGGTAGCCGCATGCCACGTAATAGTTTGCGCATGCTGTTCTGCAGGGTCCTGTTCAGTCGTTCTGCAACACCTTGCTGCTGATGTGCGTAAGGAAGGGAGAGGAGTTGCTTGATCCCCCTTTCCGCCAAGGACTGCTTGAAGCGGTGAGAGGTGTACTCGCCACCTCCGTCTGACTGGAATTTTTTCAGTTGTGTTCCAGACTCTCTCTCTGCTATCGGTAGCCAGGCGGCGAATGCTGCGAGCGCCATGTCGCGGCTGGGTAGGTTGCGATGCCAGACGTATCGAGTGGCGGCGTCGATGAAGGTGATGGTGTAGTTGTAGTTGACTTGTCCTGGCTCGCGATTGTAGAGGATGTCGCTGTAGACTTTTTCGAGTGGTGCGTACGCTGGAGCGCTCGGGTTGTGATGTGAAGCAAACGGTCGATGAGGTAAGTCAGCTTCGGGACATATAAGGCAAGTCCCTCGTGCCTTCTGGAGTTCTCTGCCATCGGGTAGAAGTAGAGAATCTTTGTCAAGGACTCCTGCTCTTATCGTGTTATTCAAAACCGTGTTACTTGGATGTCCTGTTCGTGCGTGCCAGATCTCTTCAGAGGCACGGTGTCCAGGTGAACGCTGATATGCGTCGGAGTTGGAGTAAAAGCTGGCGACGAGGTTGGCGCTTCGGTGGACTTCACGTTGAGTCGGATTCAGCTGTTTCGCGGGTGTTGGTGGTGCTTCGTCGACTGTGACTGGTGTCGTTGTTCCTGCTGCTGCTGATGTTGTTGCTGCTGCCGATGTTGTTACTGCTGCTGATGTTGTTGCTGCTGCCGATGTTGTTACTGCTGCTGATGTTGTTGCTGCTGCCGATGTTGTTACTGCTGCCGATTGTCGAATTGTTGCTAATGCTCGTGTTCGTTCTGCTTCAGGAATGGTGTGCGAGTACCAGAAGCCTCCTGGGCTGAAGTCGGGGTCGAGATCCGGAGGGTGTGTTCAGTCAGTGAAATTCACGATGGCGTCGCTGTCTGCAGTGCCCAGGTCAGGAACGAAGTCGAGGACGAAGACGTTGTTCTTCAGCACTGCTTTCCCGATGTAGAGACCGCCTCTCCCGTGGTAAAGTTTGAACTCCTGGGTCGTGCTGTCGGCTTCCAGATGAATTCCTTTCGCCATCAACTGGCTAACGCTCAGTAAGTTGTAGCCGAGTCCTTCAGCGATGAGTACCTTAGACATGTGCAGTATGACATTTGTTTCTCTTGACTGAAGCTGTACCACTCCTTGTCTTCGTGTGCGCAGGTTTTGGTTGTTGGCAACCGTGATGATCACTTCCCGTTGGAGTCGATGTTCGCGTTGTACGAAACGCCCGGACGAGCACATGTGTTGCCCGCAGCAACTGTCCAAGAACCAGGTGTCTTGGCCGGACGGTTCACTTTGAGCGATGGCGGCGTACGTTGGATTCGGCTGGAGTAGCTCACGGCGAGGCGTTCTGTTGTCAAGCTCTTCTTCCGGTGAGTAGTGTGGTGGTGATTCGGTTGTACATGAATCGGTTATCTTCGTCATGCAGTTGATTATATTTCTTGCTCCTTGTGCAGGTTGTCCGGGTGAAGTCGTTGAAGCTTGAATAGTGGTCGTCGCACTTGCTTGTGTTGAAGCCATTTGGGAGCTTGAAGGTCGAAGTTGTCGCTGTGGTGCCGTTGATTGCTGACGATTCGGGCAGTGTGTGCGCGGGTGCCCTGAAGTCTTGCAGATGTGGCAGAAGGGAGGTACTATCTTCGGTTGCTGCTGTCGGTTGTTATAATTGCTGTGTCGTCGTTGAGTGTGGAATGCGAACTCTGATACTGTCGTTTTCTTCCTGTGTCGTTCTTCCTGCAGGTCCATATCTTGCTGCTCGGCATGTATTTCGGCGCAGAGTGCAGCTTCAGAGATTCTTCCGTGGGCTCGAAGAATGGCTTTGGTGGCGCGCCACTGAGGACCAAGCCCACCAATGATGACTGTCACGAAGGCGTCTTCAGAGATTGACCCTCCGCATCGAAGCAGCTTGTCGCGCAGTTCGCGACATCGGCTGATATACGCCAGTCCTTTTTCTCCTGGTTTCATTTCGACTGTCGTCAACTGCGCCATTAACCTGCTCTGGTTTACACTGTCTGTTGCTTGATACAGGTTCTTCAGATGGCTGTACGCGAGCTCCGCCGAGTTGCCGAAGGTCCGGTAAGAGCGAATGTTCTGCTGCTGAGTTGGTGTCACATTCCTCAATAGGATTGTATACGCCATCATTGATTGATACGTATACTGCTGCTTTTCATATTGTGTCCCGTTGGCTGGATACTGCAGGGACCCGTCGAAGAAGCCGAGTATCTGCGCGCCCTCCATCATCAGCTCGAATTCAAAGGACCAGGTAAAGAAGTCTTTGCCGTCGAAGGGTCTTGACGTTTGCAGTTTTAAGACGTGTGCAAACTGCGACTGAACTTGAAGTGCGTCCAGTGGTCTTTCTTGTCCAGGTGAAGGTTGCGGGTGGGGCACGAAGCTGATTGACCCGCGCTCGTACGGAGCAAAGGTAGGTTGCTGCTGCTGGTTTCCTCGCGCATATGACGACCCATCAAGACTCATGGGTGTCGCTCCGTTGTTGCTGTTGTGTGTTTGTGCAGGTCCCGACTGCTGGTGTTGTTCGTAGAAGGACATGAAGGAGAAAAATTTCTCCATCATGTTCTGGTCAAAGTCCGAAGGGTGGTTCATGGGGGTCTCGGTTGACGTTCCTCTTGGTCTTGTTGCCGTGCCTTCTTCTGTCTGCAGGCCAGAGGCTGACGGTGGAGTAGGAGTAGTGCCCGAGGAGCCATTAGGGGAGCTCCTTTCCTTGTTTGTTGCCATGTCTTGTAATGATATTGAAAAAAGAGTAGAGTTTCCCTTGTCTGCTCTCATACCATGTTGGGCTGAGATAGCCCCTTAGGATCTTTGCAAGGGATAACTCTAGGTGAAGTAGTTGTAACAGCGGAAGCGTTTAGTGAAGAATTTGAACCGACCTTGCACTGGTGTGTGAGAGCAAAGTTGATTGAATTAAACAAGCAAATACAAGGATTTATATAAGAGTACAGGGAATAGATAACTGTATTGCTGTTGCGGTTCGATATAGCGCGACTCGGGCAACTGCTCTGTAACGAGTCAGTTGTGTGTCCTTAACTGTCGCGCTGTAATTGTCGAGTCAAAGGTCAGCGACCTTTGACTTTCTCGTAACCTCCAGGCGGTTACCCTAACCTCCGAGGTTGACTCGATGCTTCGATTGGGACTGCTTCGCTTGGTACCTTGGATTTTGATACGACAGAAGCGCACTTAGGACTTATTGTTTCCAACACATTCCACCCATTGTATGCACTACACGGACAATTCTTCCAATGACAAGCCAACCAGTAACGCATCCAGAACAAGCCAGAAATCCTTTTGATAGGACGAAATCTTCACTTCACTGCATTGCAACAGCTTCCCATGCCTGGCGATCCTCCTCATGTTGTCCAGCGACAATCTCTAGCTGCTCCTCGTGAAACTCTCGTCTCAATATTCACTTCACTTCCCTTGGTATCGCATCGCCAGACACGGCACTTCCACAACACGCTATCATCAAGCACTTATTGACGGGGCGGAAGGGGATACTCGCGCAGGCGAAGTCACGAAGTTTCGTCAGGCGAAAGGGCATCAATGCCGTGCATAGAAGTATTGCAGCTACATGATTATTGCTCCTACTTGGTATCGCCAGACACGGCACTTCCACACACGCTATCATCAAGCAGTTCTATTGACGGCGCGGAAGAGGTTACTCGGCGCAGGCGAAGTCGCGAAGTTTCGTCAAGCGAAAGTGCATCATTGCCGTGCATAGAAGTATTGCAGCTACAGGATTATTGCTCCTACTTGGTATCGCCAGACACGGCACTTCCACACACGCTATTATCAAGCACTTCTATTGACGGCGCGGAAGGGGATACTCGGCGCAGGCGAAGTCACGAAGCTTCGTCAGCGCAGACGCACGCGACTCGCAATGGTCTTCACGGCGCCGCTACTCTCGCTCGAAGGAGCCACGGATGATAAATTACTCGACCCAAAAAAACACAAGCCACCCTGAAGGACAGCGCGTGCCTGACGGGCCGCAAAGCTATTATCTGACGGGCACCACCTCTCCTACGTTTTGATTGGATTCTTGTAGCGAAGCCAGTCAGGGCGACTGATAACTTGCTCGCATCTGACGCTTTTCTCAGGAGGCATTGAGGCATTGGGGTCTGCTTTTGAGGCATTGCCGATTGTTACATTGTCTGCTCCATTGTCCGACAAAACCCGTTACATCTTCATCGTTGGCTGGCAATGTCGGGAAGTCGTCATGATTTCGCCGTGTCGGACCTGCGGCGCCATCTGCTCTTCGAGCGCATTCTCGCCAAAGGATCCGGAGGCGGTGAGACGGAGCCAGGCGGAATGTACAACTACATGGTTTCCTCGCCTTTGAGTCGACTCAAAAGTGTACAACTACATGGTTTACTCGCCTTTGAGTCGACTCAAAAGTGTACAACTACATGGTTTACTCGCCTTTGAGTCGACTCAAAAGTGTACAACTACATGGTTTACTCGCCTTTGAGTCGACTCAAAAGTGTACAACTACATGGTTTACTCGCCTTTGAGTCGACTCAAAAGTGTACAACTACATGGTTTACTCGCCTTTGAGTCGACTCAAAAGTGTACAACTACATGGTCTACTCGCCTTTGAGTCGACTCAAAAGTGTACAACTACATGGTTTACTCGCCTTTGAGTCGACTCAAAAGTGTACAACTACATGGTTTACTCGCCATTGAGTCGACTCAAAAGTGTACAACTACATGGTTTACTCGCCTTTGAGTCGACTCAAAAGTGTACAACTACATGGTTTACTCGCCTTTGAGTCGACTCAAAAGTGTACAACTACATGGTTTACTCGCCTTTGAGTCGACTCAAAAGTGTACAACTACATGGTTTACTCGCCTTTGAGTCGACTCAAAAGTGTACAACTACATGGTTTACTCGCCTTTGAGTCGACTCAAAAGTGTACAACTACATGGTTTACTCGCCTTTGAGTCGACTCAAAAGTGTACAACTACATGGTTTACTCGCCTTTGAGTCGACTCAAAAGTGTACAACTACATGGTTTACTCGCCTTTGAGTCGACTCAAAAGTGTACAACTACATGGTTTACTCGCCTTTGAGTCGACTCAAAAGTGTACAACTACATGGTTTACTCGCCTTTGAGTCGACTCAAAAGTGTACAACTACATGGTCTACTCGCCTTTGAGTCGACTCAAAAGTGTACAACTACATGGTTTACTCGCCGAGCTACCTCATCGCTATAGTGACCGTCGTAATTGTCACGATTACACTGCTCTTCAAGAAAACCATCCGTGTCATCCACCGTGCAAGCCGCGAAGGATGACGGTTTCGAGAAAACCTCAACTTCAAATCGCATATACTTTCTTTCGTCTTTTCAGGCTTCTCTAGTGCAAGGAGAGGAAGCCGGCCAGGCTGTGTAACACATCATGCATTGTGTCTTGTGCGCAGTGGTTTGGTCACAGGAAGAATAAGGCCCTTGCGCACGTGGTCGACCGCATTAAAGACGGTATGGACTACCTTATCTCAGGGAGGACACCTCTGACTTCTCATGAAGTGGGGTGAAGGGGTTTACAGTGTGCCTCAGGGAGAAAACCAACAATCTCATGGAGTATCGCAACTGTCGATTTTCTCCTCTTTCTCCCCTTGCTCTCAATCTGCCAGAACTTATGGTCGCGGGATTCCTCTCCATCGTTCTCGCGTTAATCAATCCGCTCCTCGCCGGGTTGTGCGTGTCAGTCGCGAGAGACACCATTCTTATTCCGTGCCAACCGCAGGAGGTGGCTTATCATTCTCCACCGCCGCCGCCCATACCTGCCAGTACAGCTGCTAACTATACAAATAAGGGTTTACCACTGGTTCAGTTGAATCAGAGTGGGGTTACTCCCCACAGCGGAAATGGCAAGACATTCTCGACGGTCGTCAATACCGAGCAGTTCGCGAACGGAACTGGGGTCGAGAAAGACCAAGAGCAGCATAATCGGCATCTTTTGGAGGGAGGCGGCGGTTGGGAGCATGACAGCAGGTTCATCCACCACGTGCGAAGGAAGCTGGCGAGTTTCCCGAACGAATGTCCAGATGTGAGTGAATACATGCCCACCTCCTCTTGCTCCAGCACCCTGTGGTTGACCCTGCGAGTTTCCCGAACGAATGTCCAGCTGTGAGTGTCAATACATGCCCTTTCCACCTCCTCTAGCTGTGATACTCAAGTTGCTACTTCTGCCCCCCCCCCCCCCCCCCCCCCCCCCCCCCCCCAACCCCCTTTGTTTTTCGCGTGGATTTCTGTTTTCTTGCATTGATTTGCTGTTGTTACCTGTATCGAATCATGCTGTATGTGGTTACAGAGAAAGGAGCCGTTCATGTCGCCATCAGCCATCCACCAATTGCATCTCTTCATCTTCTTCCTCGTTGCCGGCCACATCGTCTACACCTGCGTCATCATTATCAGCGCCCGTGCCAAGGTAAATTCCCCGCACCATAGCTGCTTACACTCTACAATTCCGATTATATAACCTTTCAAGCCCTGCACCATCTATGCCTCCCTCTCTCTCCCCCCTCCACTCCGCCACAGGTGTCCACGTGGCACAGGTGGGAGAACAAGTGTCAAGAGAAGATGAAGCAAAGGAAGGGCGCGGTATCAGGTATGTGTTTAGGGGGTGTGGTATCAAGCATGTGTTCAGGGGGTGTGGTATCAGGCATGTGTTCAGGGGGTGTGGTATCAGGCATGTGTTCAGGGGGTGTGGTATCAGGCATGTGTTCAAGGGGTGTGGTATCAGGCATGTGTTCAGGGGGTGTGGTATCAGGCATGTGTTCAGGGGGTGTGGTATCAGGCATGTGTTTAGGGGGTGTGGTATCAGGCATGTGTTCAGGGGGTGTGGTATCTGTTATGTGTTCAGGGGTGTGGTATCAGGTATGTTTCAGGAGTGTGGTATCAGGTATGTGTTCAGGGGTGTGGTATCAGGCATGTGTTAAGGGTGTGGTATCAGGTATGTGTTCCCTTCACAGCTCACCTCACTCGCACTCTGTGTCGCTCTCCCCTCTTCTCTTCATCGCTCGCCCCTGGGTCACTCGCAGGTCACCTCACCCGCGCCCTGCAGGACTGGAGCTTCGTTCTCCCACATACAGACTGCCCCCTCCATCTCTCCCACTGATCGCCCTCCCGTCCTCCTCCCCCGTGTCACTCGCAGGTCACCTCACCCGCGCCCTGCAGGACCGGAGCTTCATTCTCCGCCGCACGGGTTCCCTTGCCAGCATGCGGCGCTGTGTGGAGCCTGTCGTGGAAGCTGACGTGGCACCTGATGTGGTAGATGCCGGTTCCAGCTCAGCAGGTGGCAGATATGACGTGGAGCAGTCCCCTTCTGGCGTGGCACAGGAGCCGGAGCTGGCGAAAACCTTCGAGGAAAATGTCAAGGAGGAGAAAGAGGTGCAGGGGCAGGGGAGCCAGGGGCAGCAGGTTCGGGAGCAGGCTCGGGCAGAAGAGGCTCGGGAGCCGGCTCGGCGAGGCTCGAAGCTGCAGGTTCGGTACGACGACGACGGCGATGATGACGTGGCAGACCATATCCAGGAGCATTTCACCTGGATTGGGGAGGAGGAGGAGGGGGATGACTTAGACGTGATTTATGAACAAGAGGAGGAGAGAGAGGAGGAGGAGAGGAAGGAGAAGGAATAGAGGAGACGGGCGGGGAGGAAGGAGGGGGGGGGAGGAGGGGGGGAAGGAGGGGGAGGGGGTGAGGGGGGAGGGGGTGAGGGAGAAGGGGGTGAGGGGAAGAAGCAGCTGGTGCGGCAGGCAACGATGGCGAGGAGAGAGGCGAGCACTGAGCTGACCGTATGGCAGTCGCTGGTGCTCACTGTGGTGCGTTGGGTTGGGGGACTGTCAAAGGGAGGGTACAGTTGGGGAAGGGGATTAGTGGGCAGAAGGCAATCTTGCAACCCTAAGTTAGCCTCTCAACCTTGCCATCTTTCTGAGGCGCCTCAAAAAGGCAATCTTGCAACCCTAAGTTAGCCTCTCAACCTTGCCATCTTTCAACTGTGCCATCTTTCTTCTCCCCTCTCCCTTCCACATTCGCCCTTCCACGTTCTCTTCTCCTCCCCCCCCCAATGCTGTGTCTCCCCTATCATCCACCCACGTCCCACCCCAACCCACCCACGGCAATGCCTTTCCCGGCAACTGTTCAACCCCATTCACTTTTGAGGCGCCTCAAAAGACGTTCCACCCCATCCTACCCCATCTCACCCCATCTCCGTCTCCACAGCAATGCTTTTTCCAGCAGCTGTTCAACCCCATCACTCAGTCTGATTACTACACTCTCGGACTTGCATTCATTCATGTAAGTGACATGCGCTATGATATTTACTACTACTGATATTACTATCATCATTAACATGAATTCCACTACTATTATTTTCATTAGTTTATTATGTTTTTATTAGTTTTTATTGTTGCTTTATTATCTATATTGTTATTGTAATCTTTGGTTTGTTTTCCCAACCTCCTTTAAGATGTACACAGTGAAGTGCATCTCTTCTTTGTGGTTGATCTATTCTCAAGCACTGATGTTGTTCCTCCCTTGGTGCCTTCTTTCCACAGACTCAAAATTAAGCTCCACTCGCCCACTTCCCTCCCATTTTCTCCATCTTTCAGAATCAGGACCTTCCTCGCGACTTTGATTTCTATCACTACGTGGTTGGCTCACTGGAGAAAGATTTTGTGTACATCGTCGGCCTCAGGTGAATGCTCAGGTGTTTTCAACAGGTGAAATCTTATGTGTATTCTCACAGACGCAAAATGACATGCTCATCCTTCTCAGGTAAAGACTCAGGTGTTTACAACAAATTGTTTCTGATTCCTTTCTGTTTTTTCCCCCATTTCCCACGATATCCCCTCTGAAATCTTTCCTTGCCTTTCCCGCCTCTCCCAACCCCTTCCCTTTGCCTACCCAGCTTTCCTCTCTGGATCAGTCTCATCATTGTTATATGCATCACAAGCTACAGTAAGTCACTCCTTTCTATTGTATTTTTAGGGCAGAGTGAATACACCAAATATGTTACTCAATAGTCTACTACTTGATCAATCCCTCTTATGCTCACTATTATAACAATTCTCAACACCTTCCTTCGACTTCTACTCACAGCATTCAGCCTTCTGCTTTTGTTAGATTTTATATATTTTTAGCAAAACTCTGCCAACTTGCCATTCGCCCTGCCAGCCTGTCATTCGCCCAGCCAGCCTGTCATTCGCCATGCCTGCCTGTCATTCGCCCTGCCTGCCTGTCATTCGCCTCTGCTCACACCATCACTCTCTGTCTGGACCCGTCCTTTCCCTACTGTCGCTGCATCTGTGTCAAGTTCCACAAGAAAAATGTGATAGGAATAGTGTATATTGAGAAAGCTTGCTTTCTGATTATTGCAAGGCAACGTGCTTCATTTTAATTGGGTAATTACAACATTCTCGTCCAACTTACACATTACATAAACATCAACTAGGGGTGGGCGGGGGGGAAGCAGAACTGAAAAGTTCCGAAATGAAGACGTGGGTGGAGGCCAAATGGCCTCCAACCCTCGTTATGTACTCGGGAAGAGGCATTCGCAGTTGCCTTGCTTCACTACAGTCAGCTGCGCTTTCACAATCTTTATTTTTAGAAAGTGTTTCACACTTTCAAAAAATGTCATATTGAGAAAGCTTGCTTTCTGATTATTGCAAGGCAACGTGCTTCATTTTAATTGGGCCTTCTGAGACATGTGCGTGCGTGGGCTAAGCGTAGATCGCGAAGCCGGTTGATGGCGATGTCCAGTGATATCAGTTGTTGGTGCAGGTCGTTGCATTCCCTGTCGACGTGGTTATGCGAGTTGCTCCCTCCTTTGGTAGATGTATGTGCCCTTCGTTGTTGGTGGAGAGGGGGCCCGTGGTTTAGAATGATTGTTATGCTGGCATGCGCGGTGGGGAAGATGGTTGTTGAAGACGGCCCATGTGTCAGTGATGAAGCTCCCAGTATTGCGCGTAGACTGGTGCCGCGATTTTGATGTTGTTTGGTCGATGACGCGGCGTAGGGTCTTGGACTAGTGACGTGTTATAAAAAATCAATGCTTTAGTTTGAAACTTTCATATTTGCGATTGGCCCCGAGTACGAGATCTTTAGCTAGAGGAACTAAGGGGGGCTTAGAATAAGGTGTGTCCGTAGGGAAGAGGCTGATATTGAAATATGATGCTTGCGGGACTGGTGCGGTATGCATCATTTGTATCATGTTGAGATCCGAAAGGGTGTGGGTTTGTAAGAAAAATGTCGCATAACAAAACCTCCAGCCATGCGTTACTGGCCCATCAGTTTTTCGCCTTTTGGCATGTCTGGTGCTTGTCTCTTGGCCCATCGGTTGCTCGTCTCTTGACCTATCGGTTGCTCGTCTCATGACCTATCAGTTGCTCGTCTCGTGGCACATCAGTTGCTCATCTCGTCGCCCATCAGCTACTCATCTCGTGGGCTATTAGTTGCTTGTCCATTAACCCATCAATTGCTACTCCCTTGGCCCATCGGTTGCTCGTCTCGTGGCCCATCGGTTGCTTGTCTCGTGGCCCATCGGTTGCTCGTCTCGTGGCCCATCGGTTGCTCGTCTCTTGGCCTATCGATTGCGCGCCTCTTGGCGCATAGGTTGCTCGTATCGTGGCCCATCGGCTGTTCGTCTCGTGCCCTTCGATTGCTGGCCCGTTGGCCTATCGGTGGGCCATCGGCCGCTCATCTCGTGGCCCATCGGTTGCTCGTCTCGTGGCCCATCGGTTGCTCGTATCGTGGGCCATCGGTTGCTCGTCTCATGGCCCATCGGTTGCTCGTCTCGTGGCCCATCGGTTGCTCGACTCCTGGCCCATCGGTTGCTCGTCTCATGGCCCATCGGTTGCTCCTCTCTATCCTGGACCGTATATGATGGTTGCCCAAGAAAAACGACAAGAGGTGCATTGGCTGCCCTGCCACACCATGTTACCGATGTCTCGTAGCTCCAGTCAACAATTATATTGTCGAAGCGTAACGAGTAACGGTAGTGGCAGGTAAATTACCTTGACATTCGGTACATGTTTTACTTTCCCCTCTATTGTTCGGAAGGTGTGACGAAACAAGTCATCGTACTAGTGAATAATGGTTGCATGACACTCTCTCCTTCCTCGTTGTGCAGTGTAGGTGAGTTATAAAGTAGGATCCCATGGATGTCCTTACTACCGGTACGGTAGTTGCACTCTACCAACCTTACCAAAGTCAGTCAACTAATTGTTTGTGGCTTCGACATCCGATTAGGACCAAAATTGCTCCATTTTTTTTCACTATAATCATATTGTACACATAATGGCCAATGATACTACGAATCCACATACACAATAATTATGTAACCCACATACATAATTCCTCATATTGCAAGTCCGCAAATCCTCCCTCCCTAAGAAGGAGGCCCTTTGGCCAGCATACTTAGAACCTGTCCACACCCCTCTTGGAAGTGTTTTTTTTTTTTTTTTTTTTTTTTGCCAAATATCGAAGTTCACGGACCTCGGTCCCCTTCCCCCCCCTGGGGGCGGCTCTCAGGCCAACTTGGGGACCCCCGGTCCCCTTCCCCCCCTGGGGGCGGCTCTCAGGCCAACTGTGGGGACCCTCGGTCCCTTCCCCCCTTGGGGGCGGCTCTCAGGCCAACTGTGGGGACCCTCGGTCCCTTCCCCCCCTGGGGGCGGCTCTCAGGCCAACTTTGGGGACCCTCGGTCCCTTCCCCCCCTGGGGGCGGCTCTCAGGCCAACTGTGGGGACCCTCGGTCCCTTCCCCCCCTGGGGGCGGCTCTCAGGCCAACTATGGGGACCCTCGGTCCCTTCCCCCCCTGGGGGCGGCTCTCAGGCCAACTTGCGGACCCTCGGTCCCTTCCCCCCTAGGGGCGGCCCGGCCCCTCCTTTCGATGTGCGTGCAGTTGATCCCGTCGTCATTGCATTTTTTTTTTTTTTTCCGCGCGACTTCAATCAACGGCTTTCCATCTTGTGCCGGTTTTTCTGCCATCAAGAGAGTCAAGGGGGTATCGAGATTTATAGGCAATGAGAGTAAAAATTAGAACTGGAAGAAGAAGACGAAGAAAGAAAGGAAAAATAAATGAAAAGAAGTTGCAACGATTTATATGCAACAGCGAAATAATTGGTGAGGTGACATGGGGTGCTCCACTGGGCCAGTCAAACGCCTTAGGCGCGGCAGTAGCAGTTTCTTGACTGCCGCGCCACTGGCCATTTCGTCCATGGCGATTTCGCCACTGGTGCAAATGGCCATTTCGCCACAGACGCGCGCCACTGGCGCAAGTGGCGATTTCGCCACACCCTCGCGCCAGTGGCGCAAGTGGCGATTTTGCCACACGCGCGCGCCAGTGGCCCACGTGGCGATTTCGCCACACACGCGCGCCAGTGGCGCAAGTGGCGATTTCGCCAGACACGCGCGCCACTGGCGCAAGTGACGATTTCGTCACTAGCGCACGCAAATGGCGCACGTGGCGATTTCGTCACTGATGCGCCAGTGGCCGTTGCTTCATGCGCACTTCTTTCTCAGTTGCGCGTACGCCAAGTGCATCGCGGGCGCAATGCTGTACCCTCCGCAGTTGACGCACGCAGTAGCTAATGTATAACTACGCTGCTGCAGCACTTGTCCTAGCGTTGCCTCTGTGCTTCTAGAGTGAGAATTAAGAAAAATTGAGAACGGAACTGGTTGGACGAGAATGAAGCAGAACTGAAAAGTTCCGAAATGAAGACGTGGGTGGAGGCCAAATGGCCTCCAACCCTCGTTATGTACTCGGGAAGAGGCATTCGCAGTTGCCTTGCTTCACTACAGTCAGCTGCGCTTTCACAATCTTTATTTTTAGAAAGTGTTTCACACTTTCAAAAAATGTCATGTCTATACATGTCCCTCTGTTTTTTTCTTCGCACTTTATCACCGCGTCTCGCCCCTCATTACTCTTACACTCTCCCCCCCTGCCGCAGAGTGGGACATCTCCTTCATCTCTTCCGTTCTCGGCCTCTTGGTAAATACTGATAAGAAGTGAACGAGAGAAATGAGTGAACTATGAACGAAGTGAGTACAAATAGGAAACCCTAACTGGGTTGTACCCCCTATGGGATACCCCACTATAGCCTACATAAATGAGTAAGCTATAATGTTCTGACACACCCCCATAGGCAAAGTGGGGGAGAACAAGGGGTCACAAGACCAGTCAAGTAAAGCAAAGCAAAGCTCAGGGTGGATCACAAAGTCACCACACATTCCGAGCACAAGTTCAAAAAAAGGCCAGAAGGCCAGTTCATATGCAAGATCATATATAAAGATATACAAGAGTCAAGCAAGTAAGAGCAAGAGTATATATAGGTGAAGGTACAAGCAAGGTCAAGAAGTGAGCAAGTGAGGCAAGACAGACACAAGACCCAACTGCATGCAACAACGCTGATGATCACAAGGCGCAAGTGCCTTAGTGAAGACATCAGCAGTGTTGGCCTCAGAGGCCACGTACGCAAGTCGTAACTATCCACGCTGCTGCAGCTCACGAGCAAGAAAGTAGCGGAGGGCAATGTGCTTCGTTCTGTGCTCCAGTCGCTGCTCTCGACACAAGGCCAGCATGGCCTTGTTGTCTACGTACAGGACTGGAGGAGAACGAGGCTGCTCTCCAAGGTCGGTCAGCAGGTAGGTGAGCCAGCGTAACTCCTGTGCAGCCATAGCCCCAGCGTAGATCTCAGCCTCACAACTGGAGCCCAGAACAGAAGACGAGCGAGTAGCCCGCCACGAAACAGAGCCGGAACCAAGGCTGAAGGTGCAACCCTGTGACGACCGCTGCGTAGCCTGGTCGTCAGCCCAGGAAGCGTCTGCGTGCCCAGTGAGGACCACTGGACTGCGCCCTCCAAGCACTAGCCCCATGCCCGACGTACTGCACAAGTAACGCAACACCCTCTTCGCTGCAGCCATGTGCTCTGGTCGGTGTCTCCCAGGAGCAACATAGCGTGCTAGAATGCTAAGAGGGTATGCAAGGTCAGGACGTGTGCAGGTCATCAGGTACATGAGGCAGCCAACAAGCTCTGCAAACGGGCCACTCGACTCTGCGGACTCATCCGAAGGCAGAGCTGAGAGCGAGTGGCGAGTAGGCAGAGGAGTGGCCTGAGGCGAGGAGTACGTGAAGCCGAAGCGCTGAAGGACCTGCTGCACCATGTGTGACTGAGTCAGGGTAATGGTGCGGCGCGCTCTGTCCCGGGTGATCTGCAAGCCAAAATAGCTACGCAGTTCACCCAGGTCAGTGCACGTATGTCTCTTCTGCAGCTCGGACTTCACGTAGGCGAGTCCAGCAGTGTCAGCTGTGGCAAAGACCAAGTCGTCGACGTACACGAGGATGTAGAACGGCGGCAGAGAGGTGTCGGTGCGCAGAAACAGCGACGGGTCGGCAGTAGACGGAGCAAACCCAAGAGTCGCGAGCGTAGTCCTCAGTGTGTCGTGCCACTCACGTGGCGCCTGGCGGAGACCGTAGACTGGACGCCGGAGACTCCACTGGGTACCAGGAGGGAAAGACCCAGTGAAGCCAGGTGGGCGGCGCAGCCAGATCTCCTCGTGCAGACTGCCCTGCAAGAAAGCTGTGCTGAAGTCGAGAGAGTGCAGCTCGTAGTCACGGTGAGCAGCAACGTGCAGCAGAACCCGAAGAGTGGTCATCTTCGGGGTGGGGGAGAAGGTCTGAAAGTAGTCAACCCCCTGCCGCTGACTGGAGCCACGAGCCACGTAACGCGCCTTGAAGACAGGCGGAGAACCCGGCGGCCGCTTCACCCTGAAAATCCACATGCCACTGACGATGTTCGCCCCAGGAGGGGGGACAGCGTCGACGTAGGTGCCTGTGGACTTCCAGGAAGCCATCTCTGCATCCATAGCTGCCTGCCACTGAGAGGAGTAGGGACCCTCTATCGCCTCCGCGTAAGAGCGCGGAGTCGGGATGTCTGGTGCATCCGGGTCTCCCTCAGGGGCTAGCAGTACAGACGCGAGATGGGGTGAAGCGGCGGCCAGACACTGGAACTCCTCCTGCCTGTCCTCAAGGACGTCCGTGCCGAGGGCACACTCACCCCCGACGGACGGAGGACAGGCAGACTCAGACTCAGCGACAAGACTGGCAGCGTAGTCTAGACGACAGCGCGCAGCAAAGTCGACAAGCTCAGTGACAAGGGCAGACGCAGCAGACGACTCGAAGGAAGGGTCAGTGACAGCAGTAGCAAGGAGACGCGTGACAGTAGGACTGGCAGCACGAAGTGAGTCCGACTCCGGGTCGGCAAGAGCAGGAAGAGAGGAAGCAGGAGGAGAAGGCAAAGGGGCACGCAGAGGAGCAGTGGACGGACGCAGTGACATCCGGTGCGTGCCAGGAACAGGAGGAGGACGCTGACGCGACCCGCGACCACTAGCGCGCTCAGTACGAACAGGCGACGCAGGACGAGACGCAGGCTCACGACGCTCAGTAAGACCTCCAGTCGGACCAGCGTAGGCAGAAGGAGCAGGCAAAGGGGAGGCAGGCTGTAGCTGTGGCTGTGACCGGACAGGCTGCGGACCCTCTAAGGGAGGAGGAGAAAGTGGAAGACCAAGAACCTGCTGCAGGAGCGGAACGAAGTACGGTCGGGGCCGCGCGGCGACGCCAGAAACAGCAGGAACAGCACCAGCACCCTCGGCAGGAGCACCCACTCCAGTAGCACCTCTAGCAGCACCACCAGAAGCTCCAGAACCTCCAGCAGCAGCACCAGGAGCACTGTCAGTCAGACCGCCAGCAGCAGGCTCAGCGCCAACACCCTCAGTAGCACCAGCTCCAGGAGAACTCGCAGACCCAGCAGCTCCAGCACCCACAGGACGAGCACCGCCGGGACGCGCGGCAGCAGTGCCCTCTGCAGCCGAAGAACCACCAGCACCAGCAGCACGCCTCCAGCGCCTGGCAAACCACTCACGCAGCTCCTGTGGGGAGAGTGGCTCCCGGCGAGACGAAGCACCCCCAGGCTCAGCACCCCCAGGCTCAGCACCCCTAGGCACAGCACTCCCAGGCACAGCACCCCCAGGCTCGGCACCTCCAGGCTCAGCACCCCCAGGCACAGCACCCCCAGGCTCAGCACCTCCAGGCTCAGCACCCCCAGGCTCAGCACCCCCAGACTCAACACCCCCAGACTCCGCACCCCCAGGCTCAGCTCCCGCAGCAGCACCAGAGTCACCAGTGACCTCGACAGGCTCGACCGCGTCAACCTGGGACACACCTGAAGGGGCAGGACCCTGAGGGGGGAGGGGGACTACCGGGGGGGGACCTGGTACCAAGAAGAGCGGGGGTGGGGGGAGGGACGGAGTGCGGTAGGGGAAGAGGCGGTAGTAGGGTACCGACTCGTCGAACGTGACGTCCTGGGAGGACAGAACACGTCGAGAGGAGGGGTGGTAGAATTGCCACCCAGGGGCGTCGGGGGGGAACCCTAGGAAGACGCAGGGAGCAGCGGGAGGGGACAGCTTGTCCGCAGACAAGTCGCGGACAAACGCCCGAGATCCCCAGACCCGGAACGCCGACGCATCGCCAACCTTCCCCGTCCACAGCAGGGCTGGGGAGGTCTCCGGCCTGGAGACCCTGGGGTGGAGGTTGATCTGATGCGCTGCGTACCTGACCGCAAACGGCCACAGAAAATGGGGGGCAGCCGCATGCATCATGGACGTACGGGCGACGTCCATGACCATGCCAATGCGGCGCTCAGCAATCCCATTTTGCTGTGGAGAGTCCGGAAGCGTGAAGGACTGGCGGATGCCTCGCGCCCGACAGTAGGCACGTAGAAGGCCAGAGGAGAACTCTCCGCCTTTGTCAGAGTGCAGACGCAACACAGGAAAGTCGGAGCCAAAGCTCTGCCTGAGCTGAAGACGAGCTGTGCGGATCCAGTCGATCAGCACCTTAGTAACATCACCCTTGCTGCGCAAGGGGAAGACTGTGGTGTAACGCGAGTAGTCGTCAACAACGAGCAGGAAGTAGCGCTCCTGACCCTGTCCACGGACGCGGGCTGGGCCCCACACGTCCATGTGAAGTGTCTGCAGCGGGGCCTCTGTCGGAGGAAACTGGGAGGAGTGAGGGGCAGCACGCTGGCGCCCCTCGACACAGGGGACAGAGGCGGGGCCAGGGCCCTGAGGAAGGGGAGGTAGAGACCGGGGGAGACCAGACACAAGAAGACGGGAGGCCATGCCTCTGAGCCGAAGCAGAGAGGGGTGGCCAAGGCGGTGGTGCCAGAGGAGGGTCTCGTGAGACAGACGACGACACGAACAGGGGGAAGACTCAGGACCAGACCTGGACGTTGCGGCAAACACCTGACCAGACGAAGGGACCCTACCAGACTCAGTACCTGGAGGAGAAGTCGTGGTCAGTGTGTACAGGCTCGACCCTGGCCGACGTGTAAACGTAGCCAGGTGGCGTCCCGTGCTAGCCTCCGTGCAGTGGGTCACCCGCTGACGAGCAGGAGTGAACTGGTGGACACCCGCATCCTGTAGGTCAGCACCACTCACCAGGTTCGTCGAGAACGAGGGGAGGTAGAGACCAGACAGGGTGCCAGAGGGGGCCGCCGGACACGGAAGTACCGTGGAGAAGCGAGACAGAACAGGCCCCCCAGAGGGGTCAGCCAGGGACACCGCAACCGGCCGACTCAGCGGCGTGAGAGTAGTGCGGTCCCGAAAGAAGGAGCGAGACGCTCCAGAGTCAAGTGTGAAGGTGTGAGAGGCCGAAGCCGACACAGTACCTGAGAGGGCAGACTCACCAGCACCTGAGAGCACAGACGCACTGGCACCTAGAGCAGCAGCCTCACTAGTACCTGACGCAGCAGTACCAATGCCCGGGTCGGGCGGGAAACACCGGTAACAGTCATCCTCATCACTACCAGTCACAACATACATAGCAGAAAGAATAGCATCAAAGTCAAGATCATAAATGGCTACACCAGCCCTAGACAGATCTCAGCGGCCTCCGGAAACTGCTGACGCCAGGCGTCGGTCAGGCGGCCAAAGCAGCGGCGGGCTGTGTGGGTGCCTCCACACCTCTCCCCCGCACGGTCGCCGGTGCGAAGAACGTAGGGGCAGGGACCAAACGCACCACCACGCTGACGCTGCAAGTACCACTCACGGAGCTGCTGAGGGGCGGGGACGGTGCGAGAGCGCTGCTGATGCTGCTGCTGCTGCTGCTGGCGCTGACCACCCCCAGAGCTGCTGCGCTGGGACGCGACACTCCGACCCCCGCCGCCACCGCCACTCCCGCCTCCACCACCGCCCCCGTCTCCACCGCCACCGCCCCCACTGGTACCCTCGCCCCCGCCTCCTCCGCTACCGCCTCCGCCGCCACCTCCGCCTCCACCGCCTCCACCAGTACCTCCACTCCCGCCACCACCTCCACCGCCACCCCCACTCCCCCCGCCACCCCCACCTCCTCCGCCACTGCCTCCTCTAGCTCCACCCGCTCCCTTGCCCCCCTTGCCCTTGCCAGAGCGGCGTCTACCGCTGGGGGCAGACGCCGCACCGACCGACTCAAAACCAGCGAGGTCGGCCGCAGCGGCTGAGGCGACAGAGGGCAGCAGGGGGGAAGGAGAACACCCCTCAAAGATGGGGGTGCGAGGGTCACCCCGAGAGGCCCCTACAGCGACTATGCTCTTCTCAGCCGCTAGCAGGGACTCCTCAAGGAGGTCGACAGTGAGGGTGGTGGGACAGACAGAGAGAAACTGGTCCCTAACGACACGAAGGGACTCAGGGAGACGGGTGACAAGAAAGTAGAGAGTGATGTACATGGGAGGAGGGTTGGCGGCGCGGAACTCAGCAGGAAGGGCAGCGCGGTAGCGAGCGTCACTAGCGCGGAGGTGGGTAATGAGGTCAGCGACAGTGGGAAAGGCAGCGAGGTCAGGGAAGAGAAAAGGTAGCATGAGGCGGCTCAGCGTAGCGGAGGAAGGGGAGGAGTAGCGTGCAACTACAGCGTCGTACAAGGCCTGAGCGGTCTTGCACTGACTAAAGTGGGCACGCTCGGAGGAAGGGAGGTGGCGACGCACAGCAAGACGTGCAGCAGCATCGCGGGTCGCCCACTTGGAGCGAACGGCGGAATCAGCATCAGGAGGAGGGGCAGGGACAGCGCGAGAGACAAAGTCAAAGAGAGAGACCTCATCGACCGCATCACACAGTAAGTACAGCTGCAGGTCCTCAATCCAGACTGCAAAGTCAATGGCTCTACCCTCAGCGTCAAAAGCTAGGACATTGGGGGTGGCCATGACAGCAGCTGACAGTCTCACCGGGCAGGAAGAGTCGGGTAGGTCAGCGGCGCAGGTACACAGCCCAGGAGCAGCAGTAGCCCGACAGGAGTAGGAGTGCAGCTCCTCTGGCGGCTCGGGCAGCTCGGGCGGCTCGGGCGGCTCGGGCGACTCGGGCGGCGCGGGCGGCTCGGGCGGCTCGGGCGGCTCGGGCGGCTCGGGTGGCTAGGGCGGCGCGGGCGGCCCGGGCGGCTTGGGCGGCTCAGGCGGCTCGGGCGGCGGCACGGGCGGCTGGGGCGGCTCGGTGGCGGCTCACGGGCGGCTAGGACGGCGCGCGGGGAGCTCACGGGCGGCTGGGCGGGCGGCGTCGGCGGCTCACGGGCGACGGCAGCGGCAGCGGCGTCGGCGGCTCACGGGTGGCGTCGGCGGCGTCGGCGGCTCACGGGCGGCGTCGGCGGCGTCGGCTGCTCACGGGCGGCGTCGGTAGCTCACTGGCGGGCTGAAGGCCCACGGGTGGGCGGTTCGCGGGCAGCGCCGGCTCACGGGCGGGCGGCGTGACGGGCGGGCGGCGGGACGGGCGGCGGCGTCACGGGGGGGGGGGGGGGCGACGTGACGGGCGGCGGCGTCACGGGCGGCGGCGTCACGGGCGGCGGTTCACGGGCGGCTGCGTCACGGGCGGCGCTCACGGGCGGCGGCGCACGGGCGGCGCTAAAGGGTGGCGCGACGGGCGGCGGCTCACGGGCGGCGCTACGGGCGGCGGCTCACGGGCGGCGCTACGGGCGGCCGTACGGGCGGCGCTACTGGCTGCGCAAAGGGCGGCACGAACGGGCAGCCGCACGGGCGGCGCTGACGGGCGGCGCTAACGGGCGGCGCTAACGGGCGGCTCGAAAGTGTCAGAATATTATCTTATTGTTCTAGCCTGTAGTGGGGTGCTCTATAGCGAGTACAACCCTTCTAGGGTTTGCTATTTGTATCCTCATTCTTGCTAGTTCAATCCTCTTTCTTTCTTCAAACTTTGACATGCTATCAGAGCAGGTCGATCCCCTTGGATCGATCCTGTGGGTGTGTCCCCACCTTGCTTCCGCTGCTACTTTTTCCTCCCGCCGTGCGCCCCGAGGCGCGCGGCGGTTTTCTGCCCACCGTGCGCCCCGAGGCGCGCGGCGGTTCATTACCCGCTGTGCGCCCCGTGGCGTGCGGCGGGCTTCTCCTCTACGTCGCGGCCCGTCGCCGCCCGTGCGCATGCCCGGCTCGGCCCCGCCCTTCGTCGCGGACCCGCCCCGGCCCGTCGCCGCCCGTGCGCGTGCCCGGCTCGGCCCCGCCCTTCGTCGCGGACCCGCCCCGGCCCGTCGCCGCCCGTGCGCCTGCCCGTCGCGGCCCCGCCCTACGTCGCGGCCCCGCCCTATGTCGCGGCCCCGCCCCTCGAAGCGGCCCCGCCTTACGTCGCGGCCCCGCCCCGCTCGTCGCGGCCCCGCCCCTTGTCGCGGCCCCGCCCTCCAACCAGGCTCGTGGTGGGCCCCTTTCACCACACCGCCTCCCCCCCCCCCCCCCCCTGCCATTTCCCGTCGCCCGTCGCGGCTCCTTCGGGGGCCGCAAGCGGCCCCCTCAGGTCGCCACGACGGACGACGGGAGGGGCGAGCTGTGGGGTGGCGGGTATGGGGGTGGTCGGTGTGCCTTCCTCCCTTTCTCCTCCTCCTCCTTCGTCTCCCACTGCTGCAGCTGTCGCTGAGGGGGGTGGTTGTGTGGGAGACTGGGTTTAGGGTTTAAGGGGGGTGCGTGGGAGTAGAGCTAGTGGTGTAGCAGTGGGTGTGTATCAGGGGGGTGGGACTGTGTGCGGGAGGATGAGCGGAGGTTGCCAGTTTGTCGTCAGCAGCACCTGTAGTCCGGGGCGCTGTCCCGGTAGCCCAGTCGTAGCCAGCTGTGCCAGCCGCCCGTGGGTCCGTTGCCCGTCCGCCGCTATTTGAGCCGCGGGGCCTGTTACTCCTGTAGTCCGGGCGCTGTCCGGTAGCCGCTGAGCCAGTCTGCCTCCTGTTGCCCGTGTGTCTGCAGCTTCAGCCGTCGCCTCCTGTCTCCTCTCCCCTCACTCTCCCTCCTCCTCCTCACTTGCCCGTTGTGACTACCACTAGCTTTGCTTATAATTGTGAACTCTAAACTATTTCTTCTTGAACTTGTGCTCAGAATGTGTGGTGACATTGTGATCCACCCTGAGCTTGTTTTGCTTTGCCTGCTCTGCTGATTACACCCCACTTTGGCTATGGGGGTGTGTCAGAATATTATCTTATTGTTCTAGCCTGTAGTGGGGTGCTCTATAGCGAGTACAACCCTTCTAGGGTTTGCTATTTGTATCCTCATTCTTGCTAGTTCAATCCTCTTTCTTTCTTCAAACTTTGACAGAAAGGGCGGGCGCTAGGGCGGGCGCTAGGGCGGGCGCCAGGGCAGAAAAAAAAAAAGTTTTAGGTGGTGGGCCCGAAGCACAGTTCCCACAGGGGAACCTGCTCTGATTCCATGATAAGAAGTGAACGAGAGAAATGAGTGAACTATGAATGAAGTGAGTACAAATAGGAAACCCTAACTGGGTTGTACCCCCTATGGGATACCCCACTATAGCCTACATAAATGAGTAAGCTATAATGTTCTGACAAATACATGCTAGATATGATTTTGTTTTCTCACCACACATTTTTGTATACTACGCTCGTTCAAACAGATGGTTTTTTTTTTTTTTTTTTTTTTTTGCAAATTAATCTAACTATTAAATGCCTACCTTTTCATTACTTCATATCAATCTACCGTGTGTAGCATTCACATATTTGCGTATGTATTTGTTACTGTATATATGTCCAAAGATCGTGCTGGCAGTGGGAACGAAGCTGGAGTACATCGTATCGCTGCTGGCTTTAGAGAGTGCGCATGTGACTGGAGACTGCGAGGGCGACCACTTAAAGCCCCGAGGCTCGCTCTTCTGGTTCAAGCGACCCTCCTTCATGCTGGGGTTACTGCACTTCGCTCTCTTCGTTATAAGCAACTCTCGAGTTACTGAATTTCTGAGTTTCATTTGGAATAGGAATAGGCGTGAACCTGCTTGTAGTGTTATTTTTTCTGAGTTTTTCCGTTTCAGTCCCCACCGTTCTTACTGGCCCTGCTGCATTATGCTATGCACTCTTTGTTGCTCCGAGCATTCTTTTCCTCTGGCTTGACCTTTGCATGGCAGTCGTTTGCTGCTCGTATACTGAGCCTTATCTGGCATTCATCGAATAGGCATGTACTGAACACTCTGGCTTGAAATCTGTCTCCTTCAAAAGCTGTTTTTTGATTCGCCTCTTCTCACTTTGAACCCTTTTCTTTCCCACGCAGAGCTCCTACATGATTGGCAACCTTGTCGTTTACTATGTGAGTAACACCACCGTAGCAACCACCATAAGGTAGAAAGGAGCTGTCCCTGTCCTTTCCCACGCAGAGCTCCTACATGATGTCACTGTACCATTGTCACTACCATTGTCACTGTACCATTGTCACTACCATTGGCACTGTACCATTGTCACTACCATTGTCACTGTACCATCGTCACTACCATTGTCACTGTACCATTGTCACTATACCATTGTCACTATATCATTGTCACTGTACCATTGTCACTGTACCATTGTCACTGTACCATTGTCACTGTACCATTGTCACTGTACCATTGTCACTGTACCATTGTGGCATTGTCACGCACATTGACACCCACTGTGCTTCTGGTACAAGATCAGCGACTTTGCGTCTACGATGTGAGTAGCACCCCGACGGTGACCACAAGGGAGAAAGGATTTGCTTCCAAGGCACAAGTATCATGTTCATCCTCAAGGTCTCAAGGTCACAAGAACTTGACTCAAATTTAAAGGGTACGCAGTCAGTGCCCTGGTTCCAAATTCATCCTCAAGGTCTCAAGCGCTTCATCCTCTAAGTCCTTCCCTTCACTCCCCTTCCCTCCCCTGCCCAAACCAGTATCTAGCTGTGAACCAGGCGCAGTGCAAGACCTACTCCGCCTGGCTGCCATGGCTCAAGTTCATATTCGGCATCGCCACTCTACTAATCTGCAGTCTCAGCACGCTCCCGCTATACGCCCTCCTAACCCACGTGAGTTCGCTTTTAGTGCCCTTGGTGTGCACATGCTGACTTGACACCATGTTCGATATGGGGTGGCATCGCCACTGTACTCATCTGCAGCCTCAGCGCGCTGCCGCTATATGCCCTCCTAACCCACGTGAGTATGAGGTTTCAAGACATGCACACTTGAAACGAGTCTGTCCTTGGGATTGCCACCCTGCTCATCTGTAGCCTCAGCACGCTGCCGCTAATGCCCTCCTTACTCAAGTGAGTCGGCTTTTAGTGCAACCTTGGAGTGCAATCGTTGGCTTGACTTGACACAATGCTGTGATTTGGGTTGGATAACCACTGTACTTCCAGCACGCTGCTCCTATACTCTGTAAGTGCACCCACCCACCCACATTCCCCATCTGTTTGTGTTGTGCAGATGCGAGGCACACCCAGCCAAGGAGGCAAGGCAAGCACTTGCTCCCGAGGTGCTGCATATTCTTATCCATCCACTGATAAGTGCACCCCTCCCACATTCTCCAATTGTTTGTGTTGTGCAAATGGGAGGCAAACCCAGCCACTCGGATGAAGGGCGTAAGCAAGAGAAACTAGCGGCTTTTTTCACTGCACAGTTGAAAAAAATTAAGGAGCACAGATCCAAGGAGGACATACCGTACAAGCATAGAGTGCTTGAAACTCCTCACTCTCTCGAGACTTCCCCCAGTCCACCACTTCCTCTCGGCTCTCCACCAGCTCACCCCGTTTCTCCCCTCCCCTCACTCAGCCCATGTGCCTTTCTCGTTCCCCCCGCCCCAGCCCACCTGCTACTACCGTATGGCCCCTCCCTCTAGCCCACCTGCTTCGCCCGCCACTCCAAACCAACTGTGATTCTTGTTACACTGATTTTGTACTACTGCTCAAAAGGAAAACCATACACATAGTTCTCA